TATATATAAACTAATTCAAATGTTATCTAAAATGAAGAACATGTTAAAACATTCTTATGAAAATAAGAAATAAAAATTTTGTTGATTTGCTAATGAAGAAATATGATAAAAAAAAAAAACGGAAAATAAATTATCAACAAATTAGAAAAGCTAAAACAAATTGAGAATTCGATTAGCATTGTTTGTAGTTAAACAAAAAGTGACAAAAAATTATACATAATATACAACTAAATTGTATTACGGCCTATGTACTTCTATATAGGGCTATATCTCTAACTGTATTATCTCTCTTGTGCAGAGAGAGAGAGAGAGCGAGGAAATCCCCACAAAGCTAAGAAAACAAATACGTACATACTATATAAATTCAATTGTAATTATACAAACCACGAAATGAAATTATAAAATTATATATACATAAATTATACACACTAAAACCAAAAATAACAAATAAATTATATATATACATAAAAATATATGTTGCAATAAATAAAAGAGAAAAAAGAGGAAAATCCCCAAACGGAAGAATGCATAAATTATATTTTAAATGAATTGGTAAACGAAATAACAACCTTTTGTAGATACTAATTATAAAAGTATTAACAAGAAAAAAATTAAATAAAATTAATTTAGAGCTCAAAATAAGGCCCGCAATTGAAACACCAAAAGAAGCATAACAAATTCAACTAAAAATTAATAAATGTTCATTGTTAAAAATGGTTTAAATTGTGTTAAGCCAATGACATCAAACCACACATACACACACACACACCTCACACTAAATGTTTATATATAGCTAAGTCCTTGTTACTCTTCCATGCACCTTTTGCGCTCAAAAAGAAAAAAACAAAAACTAGTAAGCACTAGGCAGTCGGGTGCAATCGACTGCGTAATACTCGTTCACAATAGATATCAATTTATAGTACATCTCGGGTTTCTCTCGTACTAGACGTACGTAACTGAGGATATCAAATGAGTATATGACGTTAAACCAATATACATTCTACCCATTTGCTGAACGAGTATTTAAAAAACTAAGAAATTTACAAATTCCTTAACTTTTTTCTCAAATCTAACTAATGCACATTTCACAAAATTTTTTGTAAATTGGTAAACAAAAAATTCGAGAAAACTAAATAAAGTGCGTTTACTTAATTTATGCGTATACTAATCTAATCTAGCTAATGAACATATTTAAAAGTAAAATGAATCACAAACTTTTTTCAATTAGGGCAACTGCGCGCAAAGCAAAATCAATTCTAGAATGCTGAATACCAGAAAAATATAAAAACATTGACTTTCAAATTAAATATAAAACTAATTAAAAGTAAAAACAAGCAGCAAAGAAAGCTAACTAAAATATAATAAAAACACCAACAAGCAGAACAATTTAAGCGAATTACATTAAAAGAAAAAAGCAAAAAATGCACTCAGGGATTGATTTAAACAAAAACCAAATAAAAAACAGAAGTTGAAAAAGAAGATGGTGAATACCACAGAGAAACCCAAAAATATTTAGATAATACGCTTTTTTGGAAGCACAGCTAATATCGTAAAAACCTTTTTGCAAAAACACACAAATCGGCTGCCTGGCTAGTACCTAAAACTAAATGTAGAAATAGAATTCAAATGAGAGCTATAGCATTTAACTATATATGATATGATATGAGAAAATTAGCAACATGTTTTTTAGGCTCTTTAAAGAAAATCTTTGAACAATTGTAATTGTAAACATCATCAAAAGTTTATGCCAAAAAGATAAAGAAAAGAAAATTACATTTTTGTATTGCTAAATTAAAAGAAACAAAAATGACAAATTTATATTTATATAGTTGGAATGTAAAGCAATTGAATTGCTTCTACTACATGCATACATATAAAGCATATATATATAAACATATATTTTTGTCACCCACACACACAGCCATACACACACTCACCACAGATGCATAACTAGAATCCCAATTATACAACAGAAAGTTATAGATTATATATAGAAAAGAAGAGTTATAGGTAAAATGAAAAGAAAAGAAGCCCACAGAATATAATTTTTGAAAACTAAAAATTACAAAAAGATAATCATATATACATACATATATACGAGATATATATTTGTTATAGCCTAAATGCATTTTCTAAAGCTACCACAAGTGTCATATATGCCAGATATACAAATTAGTAATCCGAACCCCAAGTCCAACTAAATGCCAAGTGTTCCTTCAACAGCAAAAATAATATTCCTAAATGGATTTTAGTTTTTCAATTATTTGTAGATAATTTATAATAATTTAGTAATTCGAAAGCCAACTATTTAATTAGGCAGCGTATGCAAAAAAGACAAAAATAATTAATTTCATTTAATTTAGTAAAACGCATTAATAAAATCTTGTTTAGTCAAAAAGTAATTTGTTGCTAAAAAAAAAAAAAAAAAAAAAAAGAAAGGAAGAAGGGTAGGAAGATAGAAAAATTTGATTGTACCTTAATTGAAGATTCTGCGATTGAATTTAGTGTAGCATAATATTCTATTTTTAACAAATTCCTTATAGTTATTAATTGTTAAAACAAAATGGAAAAACTTCTATTTAGTGCATAGAACCTACCTTATATATACATATATAAACAAAATGAAAAGTTAATGGCACAAAACATTTAAGAAACAAAATCAACTAAAAAAAAAAAAAAAACAACATTTAGTTAAGTTTTCCAAATATGAAATTTCGAATCCTCCTCCTTTTTCTTTTTGTATATAAAATTTATGTACGAAGTAATTGGTAATTAATAATTAATAATAATATTAATAAAAAGAACATACGCTTTCGTTAAAATTAACCAACTAACCCTCTTTATTGTGTACAATTGCTAATTAACAACTTAATACTAAAAGCGTAGACAAATGCTTAAACACTTAAAATCACTAACAATTGCACCTTAAATAATAGTCCTGAATTTTCTTTTGGGTTACAATATGATTTGGCTATTCAAAAAGCTTTAAGTGTGACCTTGTCCGCGTCTATGTGAAAATCCTCAAAGCCCGAATGTTTTTTGAACGAGTTGGCAGTCCCAAACAGTTGAATCGTGTGTTCAGTTTATAATTAGTTGTTTTGTTTCCGGGTCTTTCAAGTATTTAGCTTTATATTCTTCAAACATGTCCTCCAAAGCTTTAATTACCTTGCCGTGCAATTCGTCGACATAGGCAGGATCGGGTTCATCACTCTGCACCACTTCAATTGGTGCGCCAACTAAACAGCAATGAGGCATCTCGTACATTAGTTTCTATGAGGATCAGGAGTTGCCGTCTACTTACCAACTTGTGTGATGGGTCGACGATAAGGCACAACGCCAAATGGATAGTGGAAGATGTCTCGACCCAAGGGTATCAGCGGCGCTATACCCGTTCGCTTCTTCACGGCAATCTGAAAGTTGCGCAGTTTCGAGTTGGGCGGATTGGCCACCTGCTGGAAGATGTCAACTTCGCCAAATGAAAAGCTGGGAACAATTGCAGAACTGTTCACAAGAGACAAAGAGAGAGGATAGTTGAATGTAATGGAAGCGTTATACAGTTAGCTTTTCTCTCGTTGCCTGTCTACTTACCCTGTTCGCACGGCCATCTTCACAAAGCCCTTGCGCTTTCTGAGCGTTAGAATATATTCACCAGGATTTGAGTCGAGCGCCTCCTGTGCCCCGCCTACCAAAATAGCTACCGCATTGGAGGTGAAGCCATCGCGATTATCGGGATGCTGCGGATCATTCGACTTGTTGAGGTAGTACATCAGCGACTCCTTCGACACAGAGATTAGACCCCACCAGCGTATAAAATGGCGCAAGAAAGGTGTGAAGAAATGTTGATCAAGCGTAGCAACCTTTGGGCGCACCTGAGGGAACAGTTTGAACCATACGCCAATATCGAAAGCCATATTCATACAAATGCCGGTGCTGCAAGTAAGTCATATAATCATTTATAAAAAAAATTATTGATAAGATATCTTAATGCAAGTAGTTACCCAAGTATGCCGTGTGGAAAGCTAGCTATTATGTAGTTTTTATTGGGCGGCAGCTCAGCGGTCTTGATCAATTGAACGGGAAAGTATCTACGGTATATGCGACCTATCGCATTGTCTCGCATTAGCATGCAGCTGGAAGCAATCATGAAAATTAGCCAAAAATCTATTATTCGAGCCTTAGACATACCCATTGCCATCGATGGGGGCAACATTCAGTTTGTGCCGCAGATAGATAATGGTCCAATAGACGAGCAACAGAGCGCGTGACAAATTGCTACCAAAGATCTGCAAAAGAATGAACATTATACATGTTATATATAATATAATATAAGTATATAAGAATTCACAGAGTATGACCTTTTTTCTCTCTTCTAATCCTCTGTTGCAACTCCCACCCCAAATTTAAAATTTGCTCACGATTCTAATTAGCATGAGAGCTAGAGCGAGAAGGCTGCTCGCTCTCTGAAACGTTTTTGCAAACTCTCAGCAGCGCTCTCTGTCTTCAAAATGAATGTAAGAGTATGTGTGCACTCACGCATGCAAATTCCTTCAGCATATTCCATGCTTATATAAAATCTTGATTTTGTAATAGCTTATATTTGGAAAGGGTATTAGAGTGTTGACATGCTTCAAGATAACTTTATCAACGCACACACACACACACACACACAGTGGGTTGTTAATGTATTTTGCCCCCGAAATATTTATCGATAGTTTATCCTGCCAAGCCAACTTAAAGTCGCTTTAATGTACTTATACTGTACTGTTTGTACTTACCAATAGTAGAATTATGGCATAATAGGAATTCAAAGGCAATGTAAAAAAGAATGACGTATAAATGGCCATGACCAAGAGTTCTTGGCATCTATTTCCGGCTGCCTTAATGGTCGCCGAATCGATCTTCATGTTGAACTCTGGATGTGACTGGTAGCAAGGAGGAAAGCAGAGAAAGTAGAGCAGAGCAGAGCAGAGGGCAGACACGCCTCAGTTGACTTGCCATCAACGACTGAACTGTCGCACAAATGTCGAATGCGTTCTTATCCTTATCGGTAGCTGGGCAGAGAGACCATCGGACAGCGGCGTTAACACTTTAAGAACGCATTTTAGTGATAATTATTTAGCGATAAGTTTCGGCTGGCATTGATAAAGTGCCCCCTGCACTAAAATACTTTTTCTATTATCTAAAATATTTTCAAAACCATTTTACAATTGTAAACACTTTTCGGAACAAATGACGATAAGCCGGTCTTTATCAATACAAACTGGATAGGTAAAGTTAAAAAATAATAAAATATAGTTAATTGGCGTGGGTTAAAAGTCCTATGTATATATGTATGTGCATAAACTGCGACGTTGTTGGTTGTTATATCATATTTATATGTTGCTATAGGCATAAGAAAGTAAATTATTTATTTGTCACATGTGGGTATGTCTGTATACTCCATTCGGTCTTGACCTTTAGAATGAATTCACTTTCAGAACAATGGACTCACACACACCTACATAGATACATATAGAATATGAGTGTAAAATTGAGTTGTGGATTTGTCAACGGTCTCTGATAAGAAACTTAACAAATAGTTTCAACAATTGTTTGTCTGCTAATAGGCTGGTTCTCAATGCTTATCAATATGTGTGAATGGAATCGCGGTTGTAGCACGCATTTGCTTACTCATGCTTAAGCATGATGTAAATGAAGAGTAAACTAGTTTTTTGTATTACGTGCGATCCGTTCTATATAATGGTTTTGTCTACTTGCGCACTTGCTTTAGTTTGTAATTAAACTGGATAGATGCGATTCTCGAGCAAAAATTAATTTCAATCATAACAATGAATGCAGTGTAGATTGCTGACTCACAGTTTTTAATTTGTGCACAAATAAAGTGCAATACATTAAACAATTCTTAATGTTTATTGCTTCAGGAACTCGAAAAAACATATTTTTTCAATTAGTGCACACAATTTAGAATAGAGCTAGAGTTGACCTGTTTCGGCCTTAGTTGTTCTTTGCACTCACAAAAAGAAACTAATGGAAATTTACTTTTCTACACGTTTTGCTTAAATACACATTTATATCCCCCTTTTGAGTTTCACTTTTTATGGTTTAAAAAAGTTGCGGCTTTAACGATCCGTCCACAATTGTGACTTAGGCACTGAAAACATTCAAATTCTGATTTGTATTTGGCCACACTTTTGTTTTCAAACTCTTGCGCTTTTAAGCAATAAACACAACTCTATATTCCACTTGTATAGCATTTTTTGTACAACAACAACCAAAAACAGAGTGAAGTAATTTACATATATACGGATATGTAATATAGTTTTCGTGCATTCGTTATTGGTTTTAAATAACTTCCTGTTCGGCCAGCGACAAGTGTGACCTAATCTTTATACCTTACAAATGACTAAGTATTGATTTTTCAAACGTGCACACTATTGTTTACATGCGCTGTTGCGCCTTGCACACATGAGCTACAGTGGTGGCAAATATAAAATACAGGTATACAGGTGTGTAAATATCGCTCATCTCAATTGTGTACACACATTTGTTGCGCCTGGAGTGAAAATAAACAAAAAACTAACAAAAATAAAATAAAAAATCAATAAAACATGGCCACGGAGGAGCATCAACGCTTGGCCAACATTGTGAAGAACTGTCACGAGAACTTACGACAGCTCACTAAATTGTATGGAGCCGAGCGTGCTTGGAAGGAGCACACAGCACCCCACAATGCTGAAAAGCTGGCTGAGTATGCAGATGCAATGCAGCAGCTCGCTGGCATATGGGAATCGAATGCCAGTAAGACGGAGCTGCAAGCACGTAGTCGCATCAAGTGGGCCATCGACTATATAATCAAGTACTTTTACACGGAAGGCATCTATCTGCAAAAGCGACAGCGGGAGCAGCGCCTGCTCGCCTCCTACAATGAACTGGCGGATTCTGAATGTGCGTACATGGATGAGCCACCGGACAGTGTGCGAGTACTGGATGTGGGCAGTTGCTTCAATCCGTTTGGCAATACACCACACCTGGAGGTGACAGCCATCGATCTCTGTCCTGCACCTGGAGCTCAGGTGCTCCAAGGTGACTTTCTCACAGTGGGCGTGGACGCCAGTTTGAAGCAACCGGAGATTGTCGATCAGACCGTAAAAAGCTTACCTGCTGGCTACTATCATTGTGTCATCTTCAGCCTCCTGCTGGAGTACATTCCCAGCGCAGAACAGCGCTTGGTTTGCTGCCAGAAGGCATACGAGCTGCTGGGACCAGAGGGAATTCTAGTCATTATTACTCCCGACTCCCAGCATGTGGGCAAGAATGCCAGTATCATGAAGAACTGGCGATTCGCTCTGGCCAAGCTGGGCCTGCTGCGCGTCCGCTTCGAGAAACTGCCTCACATTACGTGCATGGTCTTTCGACGAGCCATTAGCCAGCATTTGTCGCAGCACTGGGCGAGCGTGCACCGGGAGGAGGGCATCTGCGAGACGATTCGCATTCCACAGGACGATCATTAAATAGCCCTAGCCATAATCACCTATCTGTAATCCATAAATGTGTACTTGTGTCTGCATTATATTTATGAGTTCCTTCTTCGTTCTTAACTATTTCTAAATATGACATAAATAGTTACTTAAATACTATTACTATTGTTGCAGTTGTTTGTTTCCTGCTTCTGGGTGGCAGCAGTGGTGGACTCGGCGGTTTGACGCTTCTTCATGGCCGTTGTGGCGACCACTGCCTGTTGCATTATGTTCGGTGGCAGCGGCTTCTTGCGATCCGCCTCCCACTCGGCGCGATGCAAGCGCTGGCGATGCTTGTACATGTTGGCATTTGAGAAGAACGTCTGCGGGCAGTTCGGACAGGTGTACAGCACCTCACCTGTATGCGTAGACGTGTGCTCCTGCAAAGATATAGATAGGCACGATAGAGACTCACTGATCTTTCTTTAAGTCGACTGCTTCACTTACTCGAAGATCCTGGGGCCTCTTGAACGCCTTCTCGCACATGGTACATCGAAACTTTCGCTCGCACTGATGATTGTGGTATATATGGCGTTTGAGTGCTCGCGAATTTGTGGACTTCTTGTCACAGATGTGGCATCGATGCTCACCACCTGGCGGCTCATGCACCGTGCTCATGTGTTGCTTGAGACCTGACATGTGGCGCAGCCAAGTGCCGCATATCTCGCATTGCACGGGATCGGGCTTTGGTCGTGGCTTATCGGAATGCTCCAGTTCATGGTGTTTCTTAAGATTCGCCTGGGAGCGCAACGTCTTGCCGCACTTGTCGCAAATGATGGCAGTTTCCGGATCATGCATATAGCGCAAATGTTCCTTCAGCTTGCGCTCTGTGGGCACTCTGCAAAGCGATAAAAAGGAACAAGGCATTTAGCATTACGTATAAACCCTAGGTCAAAGCTAACTAACTTCTTGTTGCACTCTGGGCAGGTGTATTTGAAATCCGACTTGGGCACATGCTTGGACACATTGTGATACTCCACAGCAGCCTTTGTGGTGAAGCATTTGGGACACTTATCACATTGATACATGCGTTTATCCTTCGTATCCGCTTGCGGATTCTGATGCGTTTGCTCGTGCGTCTCGAGACTTTTGGAATCTTGGAAAATGCGACCGCACTGCGTGCACATAAAGTGCTCGGGATTCTTGTGGACCAGCACATGCTCGGCCAGTGCGCGACGCATGTGAAACTTGCGACCGCAGCAGGCGATGAAGCCACTCTCCATGTTGTGGGACATGCGCTGATGGCGCCGCATGTCTCCGAAGTTGGGCACTAGTAGATTGCAAACATGGCACGGCAGCTTCTTGAAGAAATCTATGATGATCTTATCGAACTCGTTTTGTTGCTCTTTCCGTTTCTCGATCTCCTCGCGGCTCATTCGCACAGGCGGAATCAGAGGCTTGGGACGTTTTCGATACTTCTTCGGCTTGACTACAACACGCTTGGGTATCTCTGCATAGCGCTCCTCTGGCTCCATGTCCGGCAAACTGTTGTCTGAGTCGCTGTCGCTGGGTTCGCTCGAGCTGGCGCTGTCCTCAGTGCCCAGCACTGCCTCCGCAGGTAGAAACTCCATGTCATTATCATTATCGGAATCGTGCTCGTTTTTCATGCAGCTGGGCGGGGATATTGGCGGCGTTTTGGCACGTAGGCCGCGACGTGTGCTGCGACGCAATTGCTGTCCTCTTACTCCCTTCGCTGCAGATGGTTTTAAATCTAGAAACTCAGCTAAAGGTATATCGCCATCTGAATCACTGTTGACCGTTGGCTGTTCTTTTTTAATGCGTCGCCTTGCACTCGCTGGATGCTCAGCACTCGGTCTCTTTGTAGCAGCGCTCTTCTGCTCCAGCAACTGCTCTTCGAGCACTTCTAGCTTGGGTAGCGGTTCGAGTTCGTTCACCTCCACCTTGACATCGCCCGTGGCAAAGAAATCCTCAGCCAGCGCATCCAGCTCACCGCCAAATGCCAATGGATTTGCTGCTTCCGATTCGTCACAGAACTCGATCTGCACATTCTTCACGTCGCTGCGTCTCTCCTGATGGGCATTGTAGACTCGCTGATAGAATTCATTGAAGCTGCTCACGCACTCCCAGCACTGGCGACATATTTGCTCGTGCTCACCAGTTGCGCTGCTCAGCTGCAAATAGTTTGCAAATGAAAAAGGAAAAGTGATAAAAAAAAGTAAGATATTCGCGCCTTTACCTCAAGCCAAAAGTGTTTGTTTATTGTTTTGCAAATGTTGAGCCGCAAACCAAGTTCGGAGAATATTTGATAGGATTCATCATTGTTGCAGCAGCGAAAACAAAGCACACACGCTGCCATGTCCTTAATCTACTGTTACTTGAATTAATGGAATTGCCTAAGCAGCCGTCATTTATTATTGCAAAATGAAACTTGATTGAAATAAAAAAAATAAATAAAACAATCTGTTTGCAATTTGTTGACAGTCCACAGAAATATGGAGGTCGGCTGATAAGCTGTTATCGATTAGTTAAGCAGTGTATGCACACTTGATATATATACTGATTATTAAGCGACGGTCACACTGTTTGCAATTCAAATGCCTATACGATAAACAGCAGTCAGTACATTTCCAACGGTCGAGCGGTACGGTTGCAGTCTATGCTATTTGATTGTCGGTAAACAATTCGAAAACAAAGAAGACTTTCTAGTGCGAAAGAATACGCAGCAAACAAATATGTAAACAAAGAGATAACAAAGATACTACTTAAAGTCAGCTAAAAAAATTATACAGAAAAAATAGCATAATTTTGAAATTGCCTTGGCAACTGAATGACTACGTAAATATATGTAATTGAATAGTTTGCTTTTTGTGTTATTTTGGTTTGTTTGTATACTGTCGCTCTTTTCTGTTTGTCTGTCTGCAAAATTTAACACTCGACTCACTGCCAATTTTCATTGCCTGCTAATGGCTAAAATAACTTGTTAGTTATTACAAAATTTGCCTGGAAGTGTGTTATGAAAGATATGAACTGAGTATACTTCCTTTATTTTGTCTATGGAATGCTCGCTATTCATATTTCCTTTTTTTCCCCCACTGCTGCTGTTACAGTTGACTTGAACTTGAGCCAATTTAATTGTTTAATAACAGCTGGTTTGCAAAAACATTTGATCATCAATTTCATGACACATGCAACAATTGACTTCCTTTATTGGACCTTTTACTTTTGTTTATGAATGAATGAACGAATGAATGCGCAACATTCACCTGTTCGAGCAGCGGCTACCACCCAACTAGTTGCAGTTGCAGTTGCTGCCACTGCTGTGGCATGCCACATTTATTTGCCACTTACAATGGAGCTCTGTGTGTGTGGCAGCCAGCCCGTTTTGTTTTCGCATCGCTTAGCCTGCTGTAGTCTGGTTTTTAGCTCAATACCCTGCATTTATTGGTGAAATGGGTAAGCAGGGTAGATTGTTTATGGTAACATATATGCTGCAGGTAGAACAGGACGTGAGTCACATTACACATATGAAGGAAAAGAAAAGAGAAGAAGAGAATACTAGAGTGAAGAAGACAACGGGAGACAGAAGAACAAGAAGGAAATAGGAATTTAAGAGAATTACACGAGAATATCAGATGAGAAGCCACGTTAGGGAAAGTAAAGGGAAGATATAAGAAAATTGAGAAGGGAAAAAATCAAGAGAAGATGAAAAATAATAGTAATGGTTGTGTGATACCCTGACCAGGGTATTAACGAGTCGGGCACTGCCGACTAAAGTACTCTTATTTGTTTTTTCTCCAATTTTCTTTTACGTAACATTTAGCCAAGGCACGAGCCAACCTAGTTAAAGTATATATATACGTATATATACTTTTTTGGTTTATTTGAAAGAGCATTTCATTTTCACTGTTTACCAATTTGTTGCACTGCACAAAGTCAGGCTCGAGTCGAGCACGTTTTTATTATCGCACATTTCTACTACGGAATATTAATAGGTCCATCGACCAGCAACAATAAAACAATAACAAAAAAAGGAAATGAAAACTATGCTTCAGCGTTCATTGGCCAACTGACATCCAAAAAAAAAAAAAAAAAAAAAACTCAGAAGCTCCACTGTGCATAATCAAGTGAATCGTCAAATAAATTGAAAAATTACGAATTAAACATTCTATGCAGAACAATCATAGCTGAGAAACTGTGTCAATCTGTGCCCTAAATATACATATATCTATTGCAAATATGTATCAAATGAAGTTTTGCACAATTTTGCGTATTTCGCTATTGTCAAGCGTTTTATTGTTATCCATGTTTGTGGCAGAGACAAAGGCGTATGGATTTGGACGTTGCCCGAAGTATCCATCCATGCCAAAGTTCAATATGAGTCGAGTAAGTTACCCTCTCCTATAACAAACAAATAAGCATTAAAACAAATATATACAAATGTGTATACAGTAAAATCTCCATTTACGGTTTGCTCAGTCACAACTATTAAAATAAATTAAGTATATTTGAATATGAATAAGCTAGAAAATTGTGAGGCTGTCAGCTCATATCTTTCATTCCATGATTGAAACTTCCTATTTCAACTGAGGCTCTCTAAACTTTAGATTAAAATTTTAGAACAGTTCGCTACAATATATATATTTTTAGATTGTGAAGATAGAGTTCTAATTTTAGCGATCTTTCGCTCAACTCTCATTAGCATCGGAGAACTCCACCTGGCACGCGTTCGCCCATTAGCAGATTTCACTGTATGTTTGACGCATTTGCCAAATAATAACAAGTTCCAAAACAAAAAGTTGTAAAATTTTCCATATTTACCACCAGGCGCTGCTTGTTTTTTTTCTGTTTGCTTTGTTTCTTTAAGATTGTGCATAAAGTTGAACTTGAACCAATTTTTAGAGTCTGCAACAATGTAAAAGTGCAAACCAGTTTACAGCCAGGCAGTCATAAAAGCTTAACAAATTTTATAAGCAGATCCATATAAAGATATATAAACATGTGTATATATATATTTATTTATATGTCTACACAAATTTGTTTATACCTATATTTATTTAACCAACAAACAATTCAATTAACGTATTCAAGAAGCCACTTTAACGGCCCAAGGACAGCAACAATGAGACCAAAGATCAAAGAGATCTTTGCTACTGCTGCTGCTGTTGCTGCTAATGTTGCTCTTGCTGCTATTGTTGCTGTTGTTGTTTTTAGTTGAAAAAACTAGAAAATTACTGGAATCAATTTAGCTGGCCAATTACATTAATCATACGCCGAGTGTAGCGAGGGAGACATTTAGTTGACCGCCTTGAGAGCACTTAAAGTTCCATTCGCGCGCTGTGAAAACTCAACAAATTACCATATCCACTATCCATAATAAACTAGTGAGAGTTAACAAAGCGAACAAAGGCGAAAGAAACACAGCTGCTAAGAGATGAGCGTAAAACAGAAAAGAGCTGAAAACAATTTATATACAATATATTATATAGCTAAAGCAACTGAAGTCTGAAGAAAGACAGCATAGAGACAGCTAAACAAATGCTAATTGAATTATATTTAAGTTTCTTTCATGATAAATTTAAAAGCTACTTGTAAGTGGAAGAACTAGATTGCTTACACAATATATAAGTGAAAGGAGGAGCATGATGTAGCCCTTTGTTATACCGTTTCTACTTTCCAAACTTCCCTTCGTGCTATCTCGTGCATGTTTCGTGTCACGTAATCAGCTCAGCAGCTTCCGTTGCATTCGACTCTCTACTGTGCCCTCTAATTGGATGATAAAAGTCTTCGTTGCCTCCAATTGAGCAGTTGATAAGCTCGCTTTGACATGATTCGCCTTAAGAGGGGGGCAAAGACCTCGAGCTTAAGAATAATTATGCAGTGGCGGCCTTTATGACTGGCAGCTCTAGCAGTTGGCAGTCGGCAGTAGCCAGCAGCCGGAGGCTATCAGCAGCATCAGCTACTGGGCAATATTTGAGAGCAGCAGTGAAACCAGTTTACCAAAAAAAAAAAAAAAAAAAAATCGAAAAAAAAAAAATAAATAAAAAATACTTGAAATGTTTATGTTTTACGCAGCGACTGAAGGCAGCTATTTATTTCATTTTATTTTTGAATCTGTTTTTTCTTTATTTACTTTTTTTCTGCTTAATAGTAACCCAGTTAAATGCTTACTCATCGGCGTATAAAGAGAAACGCAGCTTGTAATTCTTATTGAAGCTATATAATTATGTTTGACTGTTGATCTATTATATATTTATAGTTGTCTGGTTGTTAGATATCTATCTGTCCTATTACAGTTATTTTTAAATCTATTTTGATTTTGATTTTCATTTCTATTTCTTACAGGTACTGGGTCACTGGTACGAGGTGGAGCGTTCGTTCTACTTGCCAGAAATTGCCTCCGGCTGCACCACATTTGAATTCCAGCCTTATAGTAAAGCGGAGCTGTCCAAGTTTAATAATTTCAAAGTGGAGGTGGCCATTAAAACTGTCAATCGCATGTAAGTAAGAGCAGAGTCAGCGGATTAGGGAAACATAGTGGGCGAGAGAAACATAGTGTCAGAGAGTGGGAGCATGAGGAAGCTGTAGATATGGGAAGATAGATATAATAACGAAATAGGGAGAAAATGTGAACGATACAGTTATATAGATATAGATAGATAAAGATATATAGAGAGAGAAAGTTTAAGAAAGAGTACACTAAAAAGAATATTTTTTGAGTCTTTGTAAATTTTTTATTTTTTTTTTTAGCACTGGCAATCCAAATGTTAATCTGGGCTACGCCACGCCAGAGAACAGCAAATCTTCAATAATGGACTTTAAGGTGAGTCTAGCAAATATTCGCATTCATGTATCATATTTGAGCAATCATTAGTGCTGTCAGCTATATAAATATTGAAAACGAAGCACAGATGAAGTCAAGAATAAGAAATGAAAATACAGAGAAGTAGAGGGTTTAAGAATGCAGAAAAACAGCGAAGGAAGGAAGACAGGATTTAGATCGTAAATTGGCAGCATTGTTCAGGGAATTTATAATCATGACCATTATCATCATCTTCATCTAAATAGCTCAGCATCTCACTAACAATTCTATACAAACAATCGTAGTTCAACACACGTTTTCCGGAGGTGATAGCCCGTCTGCTGCCTGGGTCCGGGAAATACCAGGTGCTCTACACGGACTACAATAACTATGCTATCCTGTGGTCATGCGGAAGCATTGGATCGCTTGGCTATGCGGATCAGATCTGGATACTGGGACGTGAAACAGATTTTGTGGTGGAGATACGGGAGAAGATCTATGATGTGCTCAAGCGACTGTCCCTGGATCCGGATAGGCTGGTTCTCAGCAAGAACACCAACTGCCCCAAAATCAACTGAAACTAAGCCTACATATATACAAACTGATTTTTAAGTATAATATTGAATCTATTTAGGTCTCTGTGATATCGCAAAGTCGAGCTACGTTTCTTTGTTTTGCGAAACAAATATATATAAATATATATACTATGAATGCATATGTGAAATGTGATATTTGAGGGGGTTTTCAGAACAGTAAAGTTCAGATTTGCCAATTATTATAGATACTCTAATTGATTTGCTATTTATATGTAAAACTTGCCTATCCACAAATTGGGAATTGATGTTTTTTTTAGTCGCAATACGAAAGGGAAACAACTTGGAAGTATTCTAAAATATGTCGAAATTGTGGATTTTCTTGCTTCTTGCATTGCTTTTAAGCATGCTGGAGCTGTCGTCTGCACGAGGAGGAGGAGGAGGAGGCCATGGCGGAGGCGGCCATGGCGGAGGCGGCCATGGTGGAGGAGGTCATGGTGGAGGAGGCCGCGGCGGAGGAGGTCGCGGAGGCGGCCGTGGTGGCGGTCGAGGAGGTTTCGGCAGACCTGGTGGCTTTGTTGGTGGAAGACCTGGCTTCGGTGGTGGACGACCTGGTGGCTTTGGCGGTAGAAGACCTGGCTTTGGAGGACCAACTAGAGGTGGCTACGGCCGACCATTTGGCGGCTATGGCGGCTATGGCGGCTATCGAGGATATAGACCCTATGGCTATGGTGGCATAGGACTTGGCGTGCTGCCGCTGCCTGTGCCTGTACCTGTGTCCTATCCATGCCGTCGCCCATATCCCTATGACTACTACTACGACGACTACTCTTATTGCTAGATGGAAAGAAACTTGTTGTTTTTGATTATGAAAGTTATATTATACAAATTAGATTAACATTTTCAGTTACAAGATTATGATGTAAATGTCCTAAGAAATTGAGGCTGTAGACAGTTCTCTAAATATTTGATATTTTCATATTTATATAGATTCATTGATTCATAGATTCCTTATTGTTTTGATGGTCTTCGGTGTTTGTTTGTTCGTTTCATATTCGTTTGCATGGACCGGTCCCTAGTATTCGAGCTTAAGTCTAAATAAAAACCGATTGCAATTCAATCCGCAATGCATGTATATATATATATATAAATGTAATTATGTATATATTTAGTGAATTAACCTTATTTTTGTGTCTACGGACTAGATATGAGATACGAGTACCAATAAATAATGGCTGACTTGTGATGCATTCGTTGTGGAAAAGTAAATATATCGTAATTGTTATAATAATAAGATATCATACTTAATGTAAATATGAAGTGCTTTGGATATCATGCAATAACTAGCAAATAAATTGGCATACGTGAAATCAACTGGAAACTTAGCAAGTTCTCGGAGGTGAAGCCGTCTAGGAAATATGCCAGAAGATTTATACAAAAACAAATAACAATTCCAAAGACTTATGTAAGCTAAGAGAAACTATTCTGTATAAGTCCGTATTTTGATTATATTATTGTTACGTTAAGTGTGTGTAGATGCTCCGGAAGACAAGCTGGAGAGCATTAAGTTTACGGATACGGATACGGTTTCGTTGAAATGATGTCTTCAAACAATGACGGAATTTCGATTTCACTTTCGATTTGTTCTGCGCTGAATTAGCTGAGTCGCTTTCCAGCCTAGAGCATCGCCTTGCATTCGCTCTCAGCAATGCTGTGCTGAATGCAGTGATTGATCTCCGCGAAGCCGGGTCGTTCGCTTGGCTTGCTGTTCCAGCACCGGCGCATTAGAGCGTACACAGAGAGCGGCGTATTGTCCGGACAGCCCAGCACATTGCCCTCCTTGATGTACTTGATAACCTCGGCGTGTGTCAGCCCGAAGTAGGGCTGCAGCGCAAAGGAGAAGATCTCCCACAAGCAGATGCCAAAGGCCCACACATCCGACTCCAAGGAGAACTTATTATACAGTATACTCTCGATGGGCATCCAGCGTATGGGTATGACATCGTTCTCGTCGCCCTTGTAATAGTCCTGCAGATAGATCTTGTGCGAGAGACCGAAGTCGGCTATCTTCACGGTCATCTGCTCGTTGATGAGGCAGTTGCGCGTGGCCAAGTCGCGATGCACAAACTTGCGTTCGGATAGGTAGAGCATGCCCGAGGCCACATCCGAGGCCATGTGAAGCAGTTGCAGCTCATCCAGGTGCTGGCGATTGTGCGGCTGGGCCTGATGTGTGGCATACGGCGAGCAGGCACGCAGAAATTCACTCAAGTCACCCGGCGACATGTACTCGAAGAGCAAACACATGGGCCGCCCCAAGGCGCAGACTCCCAACAGCTTCACAATGTTCGCATGATCGAACTCGGCCAACAGGCAGGCCTCGCGCTCGAAGTCCGTTTGCATTTGATCGGTAGCATCGTCTTTTAGCATTTTGACAGCCACTAGCAGGTCATCATTGCCAGGCACAAGTCCCGGCGCCTTGGCCTGAAAGACGCGACCGAAAGCGCCCTGTCCCAAGGAGCGCACATAGACAATGTCTCCTCGCGGATACTCCAGCTTCTCTAGCCGCGCGTTCAGCTTCGTCTTCGGCTCCTGCTGCACCGCAGCCGTCGTCGTCAGCATCACACAGTTGACGCTGTGTATGGTCGCAGTGCTGCGTATGGTGCCACATTTGATGCTGTTGGGAGCAAAGCCTGTGGAGCCGAGGGTTTCGCGACTTGCAGACAAGTTGGTGCCGCACTCGCCATGCACTGCCTGCGACTGGGGCTGCGTGTACTCCTTGTGCTTGGACAGCTTGTAGGCGAGCAGTATAATCAAGTGAAGTGCCACAATGCCAACGAAGCCAATGCCAGCCAGCAGGAATATCATCGAGGGCGTAAAGAACTCCTCCATTTTAATGGGCGTATTCAAGTCCTTGGCACTCGGATCCACATAGTCAGCTGGAAAAGCAATTCAACTTAGACTTAGCTACATTTAAGAGTAGAGGAATACAGGTAAACCTACGACAAAGTGGAATATCGCAATGCTGCCAGCGCACAGATTCATCAAGGGTATAGCACCAGGGATAGGGCTCCTCTCCACCTGCATTGCGGCAATAGTTCTCGCCGTCAGTCAGCTGCTGAAAGACTAGAGGAGGCTGGATATGCTTGTGCGGATACTGTGTGTCCCAGCGCTGGCAGGGTATGCCCGATTTGGTCACATTCATGCTGCCCAGATAGTAACGCCCATTGCCATTGCGGCAGTCATCTAGAAAGGAGACAAGGTTACTGGTTCCAAGTCCAAAAGAGGCTCGGGGAGTTTCCACTTACAGCTAACCTCCGACTCCTTGATCTCTGTTAGACCTATGTACGAGCAGCTGGGCCAGCGCATGCTGGTATCATAGTGAGGTAGGGCCGTACAGTTGGGCAGCCGAAAGTGAGCGCGACTCTTGAGATACATGTTGCGTTCCCGCTTCTCCTCAATCAGCACCCAATCATTGTAGCAGAACTGCAGATGAGTTGCCTGGCAATCCTCGAAGCAGAGCGGCGCCTTGATGGCTTTGCCATTCTCCACATGACAGCGCGGAAAGGCATAGGCACAAAGCATTTTCTGCAAAGAGAAGATATGCCAATTTAGTCCCTGTTTAAAGGGAGTATAAGCAGGGATCTAGCCTACCTCAGCTGCCTCACGGCATAGTCCGCTCAAGTCCATAATTAGCTCATCCCAGAGTGCTGTCGTGATCTGCTCATTGCGCCAGCCACCCGATGGATCCTCCAGGCTATACCACACTGGTCCGGTGATGAACTGCTTGCACACCTTGCCATTGTACGGCGCACAATAGCCCTTCTCCTCCCGCTCCCGCTCGTACTCGCTATTATGATGTCGCTGGTGGTGGCGTCTAGCCGGCTCCTCCATGTCGATGGCGTTTAAGGAATTACCACTCGCTTCGCATGTAAACAAAAACACGCAAAGCCCAACAAACACATACACAAAACTTTCAATATCCCTAACCACCATGGCTGCTCGGAGTGTGTACGTGTATTTGTGTCTCTGTATATGTAAATACTCTTAGAGGCAGCTTTTGTGTACACTTTGCGCTTTTGTTTGTTTCCACTTGGAAATTTCCCAATAACTTCAATCGCCCGCTTTTAGGCACCCGCTGAACACATTTGCACAAACATTTTCACAGCGACTTCTATTATTTGGAGCACTTTTTAAGATGCTGGCAAAACTTAAATAGTAAAAATTGCGAGGCGCATCGAGCTGTATACGCCATACACTCGCCTCTGTCGACGCCTTTTTCCAGAATACTACCAAAAAGTTGGGTTGACAGCCCAAATGGGGGAAGCATCCCCATAGGGGTGGTTTTTATGCACAGGCAACAACAAGCACACAGGGTTGCTTCTCCCGTTCAGTTTATTCCAGTTGTTTACAAAGCTCAGCTACATAAATCATTATTTCAAATCAACAATAACTATATTTAATTACTATTGTTTCTTCTCTTTGCTATCCTGATCTTTTTTCTTTTCTCTCTCTTTCTTCTCTTTTTCGTACTCGTCTTCCTCTTTAATCTCCTTCAGACCCTGTAAGTGAATTTGATTAAGCACCGAGCATAAACTCTAATAAGAACTACAGAAATACTACTTAAATATATATTTTTAATTTTAACTCCAATTTTAATTCAGTTTCGATTTGTAATTTTATTCACTTTTTGCACTTAAGCTTAACAGATTTTCAACTAGGTTTACATTTACTTCCTATCCTCATCTGGTATAGCATTAAGACCCTGTAAGAGAATGAAACATATTCTCGAATTTTCAAAATATTAAAGCAGAATTGTTCACGATTATTTGGCAGTGCGTGCAACAAAAGGACTAAATGTAGAAGCATTGGCTGTGATCGCCATAAATCACATATAACATAATTAAATAGGGGAATGTGAGTAATAATGATAATAATGATTAACGCCAAATCTGTTAGGAAATACGTGCAACATAGGGATTAAATGAAGACGATTAGGTAGTAAATATATCTTTGCTGAACATTACGCAGAAAATAATGATATGCTTTATTACAGATATTATTATATTGAGAACGCAAAAGTGAAAGATGAAAAGGCCAAGGAATAAATTATAACTAAATTAAGTTTTGTCAGACAATTTGGCAACCTAAGTGAATGTGAACTTTAACAGAGATAGCTTAATTATGATTTTAATATATGTGTAATAAATATGATTATAGTATTATATGGTTATGTTTACATGTTACAATCACAAATTAAACTCGTTTAAGAAAACTGAATCGAAATGATCAGGTATACTGATGATACTTGGCATGCATACGAAACTAATATTAGAGATATCACTTACATTCATTAGGTAGGGATTGTTGGTCAGTCGGAAATCGCGCTGATACATAACACGGTCGAAGCGTTCGTCCATGTTGCGGCGATAGGCCTGCAATCAATAAAATAACAAATAAGACATAATTGGAAGTATATGTGTGTGAGTGTGTGTGCTTCAGTTACAACTTCAATGCATTTGACTGCTCTAAAATCGCGTCTCTAAATCATGTTTTGTAAATTACGTTTAGTACACAGTCAACGACGAGTATTATATAAGAATTTTGTGTTATTCCAACAAACACTTACGTTGCCCAATGTCAGCTTCTGCAGACCATACATTGCGTATATGGGCACGGAGAGTGCCACGGTAATGATTGCGGCGGCTGGTAAGATTTCGAACCACATTTTGACTGTGACACCAAATTTATTGTGTTATTTTGCTATTAAAAAAAACACGGCCAAGTGTCAGAGAAACAGACAGCTGTTATGTTTGAACGCCTATCGATGTATCGATATACCCAACGAGTAATCAAACTAGTTTTTATATGACATTATAATCAGAATGCAACATACTTGTAAATATTATAAAACGTTGTCTAGCTAATAGAGATACGTTCTTTCGCTTCCAAAATGTTCGTTGATTAAATAAAAAACGTTAAAGCTTAATAAAAAACTTGGGAGGCGTTGCGGTTCTAAGCAGCTGAACTGTGCAAGTGTGGCAACGCCACAATTCCCAAATATATACACACGTATGCAGAGAAGAAAGCAAATTACCGCAAAATCATTCTATTAAAGGTTCGACAAGGCAAGAACGCAGACAGCATTCATCGTATCAACACCGCAAAGACACGAATATTATACTTGGTAATCGCATCGATCAAATCAATCAAAATACTGTGCTAGCTGCGTTAAAAAACGATAAGAACGATAATAATTTACTCGAGAACATGGCTAGTGACTTAAGCGGCATTGTCGAGTCATCATTTCCCACGGCAGCATTGGTAAGCATATATTCTATGAAGGCTATATACGAAATTGTGATTATTTTGATGGTAGGTGCCGAAGGCGGAGACGGGTGTGTTGAACTTTTTGCAGAAATACCCAGAATACGATGGCCGCGATGTGACAATCGCCATTTTCGATTCTGGTGTAGATCCCCGTGCAACGGGTCTTGAAGTAAGTAACTGTCAAGTACATCATATGGCATTTCCAGTTATTTAAATTACTTATTCAATAGACTCTGTGCGATGGCAAAACGGTGAAAGTAATTGAGCGCTTCGATTGCTCGGGTTGCGGCGATGTCGATATGAGCAAGAAATTGATACCGAATGAGAATGGCATTGTAAAGGGCTTGTCTGGTCGTTCGCTGAAGTTCACTCCCCAACTGCTTGCTCTCAACACAGACAAGGAGCGCGCAGTGCGCGTGGGCTTAAAGAGCTTCAACGATTTGGTGCCGGCCAAAGTGCGCGACAATATTGTCGCCCAGGCGAAGCTCAAGAGCTGGGACAAGCCACACAAAACTGCTACGGCAAATGCCAACCGCAAGATTGTTGAATTTGAATCTCAAAATCCTGGTCAGTCAAAACTAATTAGAACTTTTAAGAAATCAAACTAATGATCTGTCCTGCAGGAGAAGCGTCCAAGCTGCCGTGGGACAAGAAGATAGTCAAGGAGAACCTTGACTATGAATTGGAAATGCTCAACTCTTTTGAGAAGATGTACAGTGATGTTAGGGTCTCATATGACTGCGTTCTTATGCCAACTGAAAATGGCTGGCTGACCATTATCGATACCACAGAGGAGGGTGATCTGACAAAAGCATTGCACATTGGCGAGTATTCCAGGACGCATGAGACGAAAAATGTGGATGATTTCCTCTCGATTTCTGTCAACGTACACGACGACGGCAATGTGCTGGAGGTTGTGGGCATGTGCTGTAAGCAAGTACCTTATTGACAAGTAGACAGTCAACTAAAGTTCCTGTTTTGCCAATTAAATTATAGCTCCTCATGGCACTCACGTTGCGTCTATTGCGAGTGGCAACCACAACTCGAGAGACATTGATGGAGTTGCACCCAATGCTAAAATTGTGTCGTTGACCATTGGCGACGGTCGCTTGGGTTCAATGGAAACCGGTACAGCGCTGGTTCGCGGCATAATGAAGGTGATGGAGCTCTGTCGCGAAGGTCGTCGCATCGATGTGATCAATATGAGCTATGGCGAGCACTCGAACTGGTCTAACTCCGGGTAAGCAATGGCTACCATGTAGCAGCTAGAGCATGAAAATTGTCATTTTTAGCGAGATTGATGAACTTGAGAAAAAGCGTAGAAGAATCAAGATAAAGTCACCGAGGTAAATCGATCTACATTCTCATTCCCAACTCCTATTCTATCCCACACCTCATACATTCCACAAATGCGCGTCAGTGTTCACACTCGGTTAATCTCTTTCTCGATACAGTTCAACGATTGAATAACACCATTCATGTTCTTGTTTAGGTTGCCTAACTCTCTCGGAATATTCGCCATCTTTTAATTGCTATTCTCCACTTATTTGCAGTCGCATTGGTGAGCTGATGAACGAGGTGGTCAATAAGTACGGCGTTGTGTGGGTAGCCTCGGCGGGCAATCATGGACCGGCTCTCAGCACAGTTGGTACTCCTCCTGACATCAGTCAGCCGAGCCTGATAGGTGTGGGCGCCTACGTCTCGCCACAGATGATGGAGGCCGAGTATGCGATGCGTGAGAAGTTGCCTGGTAATGTTTACACCTGGACATCACGCGACCCCTGCATTGACGGCGGACAGGGTGTCACGGTGTGCGCACCAGGGGGCGCCATCACATCCGTGCCACAGTTCACCATGAGCAAGTCGCAGCTGATGAACGGCACTAGCATGGCAGCACCTCATGTGGCCGGTGCAGTGGCCTTACTTATTTCCGGGCTAAAGCAGCAGCAGATTGAGTATTCGCCGTATAGTATTAAGCGGGCGATAAGCGTCACGGCCAACAAGTTGTGCTATGTAGATCCCTACGCCCAAGGCCACGGTCTACTCAATGTGGAGAAGGCATTTGAGCATTTGGTTGAGCATCGGCAATCCAAGGACAACATGTTGCGGTAAATACTGTTTGCCTTGGGTATGGATACAAATAGTTACTTCATCTTTTGTTTCTCCCCTTGTTGCAGCTTCTCTGTGCGCGTGGGCAACAACAATGCAAAGGGTATTCATCTCCGCGATGGCGTGCAGCGCAAGTTCATTGACTTCAATGTGAACATTGAGCCCGTCTATTTCAATGACAAGGAAGTGGGTAAGTTGAGCATTGAGATACTCATCTTAAGTACTTAATAAATGCTTGCTAACGTTTCAGATCCCAAGGAGAAATTTAATTTCAATGTGCGCCTCAGTCTTGTGCCCTCGCAATCTTGGGTGCAGTGTGGCGCCTTCCTGGACCTTAGCTATGGAGTTCGCTCGATTGTTGTTCGAATTGATCCGACTGGCTTGCAGCCAGGTGTGCACAGTGCTGTGTGAGTACCTGCAGTTAAATGTCAAGTATACTTTTGTATATTAACCTAAACTATTTTAACAACTGCAGCGTCCGTGCCTATGATACGGCCAATGTGCATAAGGGCCCATTGTTTGAGATACCAGTTACAGTGGTGCAGCCCCATGTATTGGAAGATACCCAAAGTACACCCATCTTTGAGCCGTTTTCAAATAGGGCTGATAAAAGCGTTGAGTTTCAACCCAATACAATTCAAAGGGACTTTATTCAAGTGCCAGACAAGTCCACCTGGGCAGGTGCATATATGCTTAATAATATTGCTAAAATCAGTTATAAATCTATCTCTCCTTTCTCAAGTGCTGCGCATGCGCCTAACTGATCCCAACCGTGGCAACGACGTTGGCAAGTTCTTCTTACACACGAATCAATTGTTACCAAATCAATCTTGTCGCAAGCTGGAAACAATGAAGATTATTGGCGTCAGTTCGGAATTTGATGCCACGGCTACCTTCCGTGTGAAGGTGAGAAGAAAATGAAGCAAAATTATAAAGAGTCTATTAACTAAACAACAATCTTGCAGGCCAACAAAATACTGGAGCTGTGCATTGCCAAGTACTGGTCCAATCATGGCCAGAGTCATTTGAAATACAGTCTCGAGTTTCACGGCGTGACTGCACTCAATCCAAACGCATGTAAATATAGCCTCAATACCATGTTTAACAATAGGATCGAAATTTGTTAACCATTCTTCTTTCAGATGTCATGCACGCTGGTCGTGGCATACACAAGCTGGAACTTGATGCACTGGTGTCCGAGGAGGTTCAACCATCGCTGCAGCTGAAGACTGCTGCGGTAGTGCTCAAACCAAGCGAGGCAAAGATCTCGCCATTGAGTGCCACACGTGATGTCATCCCAGAGGGCAGGCAGATCTATCAGAATATGCTCGTCTACAATCTGAACGTAAACAAGGCAGCTGATGTGGCGTTGTATGCACCGCTGTTTAACGATTTGCTTTACGAAGCGGAATTTGAGTCGCAGATGTGGATGCTGTTCGATGTTAACAAAACCCTGCTGGCCACCGGCGACGCGCACTCCCACACGTTCTTCACAAAGCTGGAAAAGGGAGAATATACTGTGCGACTGCAGGTGCGCCACGAGAAGCGTGAGCTGCTGGAGAAAATTTCAGAGGCCAACCTCATTGCGGTGTACAAGTTGGCCAATATGATCTCTCTAGATTTTTACGATAGCTACAACCAGGGCATTGTCGGTGGCCGTAAAATATCGTCCACAAAGGTGAGAGACACCAGCAAAGTCATCTACGTTGCGCCCATTAGCCAGGAAAAGCTGAACAAGGCCAATTTACCTTCGCCGTGCGCCTGGTTAAGCGGCAATCTAATCCTCCCCAAGGATGAAGGCGGCCGTCGCGTTGACCTCCATTCGTTCACATACATACTTAATCCGGCTGAGAAGAAATCTTCCTCAAATGGCGCCGCCAATGGAGCTGCTGCCAGCAATGCCAATCCAGCAGCGGCAGCTGCTTCAACAAATGGAGTCAAGCCGAAGCCAGCTTCCACCATCCAGGAGGAAGCCAGCGCTGCAAATTCAGCTGGTGGCGATGGAGTCACAAGCCAAACTGATGGTCCCGCCAATGGTTGCAGTGGTACGCCCAGTTCGCCACAAAAGGGCAAAGCTGGCGCCGATGATTATGCTGAGAGCCTACGAGATTTCCAATGCTCGCACATTGCCAAGTGTGGTAAGTTTGAGTGTCAGTATATTAAGAGCTTTATGGCATCCTACAATGATTTCTTTAGATCTGGAAAAGGCTGAGAAGATTTACAACGATGTTATTGCCGCACATCCCAAGCACTTGCCGGCCCATCTGCAGTTAATTCAAAACATCGAGTCGAGCGAATTGAAGAGCCTATTGCCGTTCGCATTTGTCGCTGCCCAACAGAACAGAAGCAAAGAGGGCGATAATGCCAATGCCGATAAGCCGAAGGAGGATTTGCAGAAGCAGCGGTCGGCATTGGAGCGCATTGTCAAACTGGCTGACATTGTAATCAATGAAACTGATGCCGATGCCCTGCTTTCTTACTATGGTATTAAGAACGACACCCGTTCAGATGCAGCTAAGATCAAGACGTAAGTCAATGAAAGAAAATCCCGAGCTTTCAATTAATATACAATATCTTATTGTAGAAATATGGATAAGCAGAAGAATAATCTGATTGAAGCCTTGGTCAAGAAGGGCATCGCCCTCGCCAAGGTCTATGTGCTCGATGATAATGTGAAGGATCATTTGGCTGAGTTGAATGACGTCTACACCGAGATTATCAAGTTTATCGACGCCAACGATAGCAAGGCAATCCAATTCTCCATTTGGCATGCTTTTGCGCACAATCACTATGGACGCATGTACAAGTACGTGACAAAGATGATTGAGGACAAACGCGTACGGGAACTCTACGATGAGATGGCTGCAATCAATTGTGCGATGGGCTACGAGCATACAAAGCCCCTCATCGATCGCATGGCTATCAGCTACTTCCCGGGCAGCTTCCGTTTGTTCTAAGAAATGTTCGATGCAAGTTTTAAAGCAATTAGCTAAAGTATCTTATAGAATGCACATTTTTAATCTCCTCACTGTTTTATTTGTATTGCAAGCCGTGAGATAATCAAGCAAATATATAATGTAAATGAATTCAGTATACTTCCAATGTAAAAAGCAAATGTTTTGTTATCTGAAAGATTTAGCAAAATGGTTTGCTTAATGTAAGCTAGTGGTTTATATTTTGATTTGAATGCGAGTGCACAGCTGTTTTCTGCAAAACTGTTAAATGTTTGTTTACATGTTAAACTCATAATGGCACTGTACTTTAGCAGAAAAGTGTGACCCTAAACTTGGATTGTAAAAGTTAGTATTTTTCATTATTACAAAGAGGCATTTTCTGCTAAAACTCTTAAGTTCACACTGTTGAAGATGCAGTACTCCCAAACAATGCACACGCAAAAATAAAATGGGTAAGATTGAGTTAAAAAGTGCAAATGTATATTAAAAACTTTGCTGATAGTGTAAACGAACCCTGAAGGGATAACAGGATAGTAAAAAGTGACTGTATAGAACGAAAATGCAAGTGTTTTCTATGCAGGAAAAAACTGTGTCTGCTACGTAGTTGTAGCTTCCGTGCTTCCGTATGTATGTGAGTGCGGTGTAATTGTATGTGTACGCGTGTGTATTGACCGATCGATTTTATTTTGCAAATTCAAGGACAACTGGAAATCCTGCGGGATAGCTTGTCGGTTTAATTGTAAAAGAAGTAAATAGTCGCCAGTAAAAGCAACATTTGCGACATATAAATGCGTCATCTTTACAGAAACTGCATTAGCAATAGCAAACAGTCAAGCGGATGTGGACAGTTTCCATGGAATTTATTATCTCAATGAATGTCGAATGCCGCACTGATGACTCAAATTGCAAATCCAGAAGTTTTTAACCGACATTATCAGTCAATCTGTGTACACACAAAACACAAACAGATGTACATATGTACAAATGTGTGTGTGTATATACATGTGTTGCGCGTTGCTTCCTTTACAAAGGCAAACAAAAACACGACAGAAAAAAAAGAGACAAATGCTGCGGGTTGAGGCCAGCGACAACAACGGCAATCAGAATTTTGTGTCAGTGCTTGTGTATATATGTATATATTATGTGTGTGTGTGTGTGTGTGTGTGTATACGAGGTGGGACCGAAAGATAAAGATATTGAAATGAAAGAATACAAATATTTTAAGGCTGCCACATGAGGGCGCCGCTGTCATGAAAGTCAAACAAATGTGTTGGTGTCTTTGCTAGTGGGTGTAAAAGAAATCCATACCACCCACATGCAAACGCACCACTCTATATAACGCACACACATGCATGGAAACAGAAACAGACAGAGTCAATATTATGGAGCGCAGCTGTTGTTGGTTTATCGGCTACATCGCATGCATACTTAAGTTAAATATGCATTTATAAAAACGTATTTATTTTTACATTTATATGTATCTTCTCCAGAGTGCCCACAAATTGATTTATATGAATTCCTCACCGAGTCCGAACTGCAGCAATACTACAATGCCATCAAGTGAGTTGTGTGACCCAAATAGATACCCTATGCTCCAGCAAGGTATGCTGATCACAAGAAAATGCGAGCAAAATTTAAATTTCCCCCATGCCAGCTAAGAGAGTCATCAAGTGCAGTAGAGTTATTAGTATTTTTTAATACCTTTATTACCATAATTTAATACCAATACGCAAAATATATGTATCGATATGAGTATTTTGACACCGATGCGAAAAGCAGCAAGAGAACAAAAGAGCATTTGTGTGATCTGCATATTAAGCTGAGCTTTGACAAACACGTGACTCATTTAAAAACGCCGCTTGGTTATTTATTTGTTTCTTTTTTCTGCACACAGAAACGAACTAAAAATAACAAATGCAGCCCAATTTAAATATGCAGCGGATGAGGATTTACGTTTCATTGGCCTGTCGAGGCCGGAAATACGAAGACTGCGCAAGTTCTATGAAAAGCATTTCCCCCACAGCTACCTCAGCAAAATCAAGCGCCTGCTACAAGCGCCCGCCACAATTGTGAAGCGCGAAGATGGGGCTGGGGCTGGTGGGCAGGCAACAAATGAGAACGGCGCCGCTGCAGGGACGACCAACACAGCGACCCGTAATGGCGGTAGCAGCTCGCCGGGCAGCAAGGCACCCAACAATAAGCACATCATACCGGCTGATTCGATTAGCGTTAATAAGCAGCTGGGCATTGGGGAGTTTGGCATTGTGCAGCAGGGCGTTTGGACGAATGGCAGCGAGCGGGTGAGTACGATATCTGAGCCCCCTCCCTCTCAAGGGCTTCCGGCTGAATTGAGTAATTAATTTTGACTGCTGATTGCTGCACAGATTCAAGTGGCCATCAAGTGCTTGTGCCGCGAGCGCATGCAATCGAATCCCATGGAGTTTCTCAAGGAGGCAGCCATAATGCATTCAATTGAGCACGAGAACATTGTGCGCTTGTATGGAGTGGTGCTGGCCACGGATTCCCTGATGCTCGTCACAGAGCTGGCCCATCTACGTTCCTTACTCGAGTGCCTTAAGGATTCCGGCTTGCGCGTCAGCTTTCTTACAATACCCACGCTCTGTGAGTTTGCGCTGCAGATCTGTAATGGTATGCGCTATCTGGAGCAAAAGCGACTGATACATAGAGATTTGGCTGCACGGAATATATTGGTCTTCAGCAAGGACAAGGTGAAGATCTCAGACTTTGGGCTATCGCGGGCCCTGGGTGTGGGCAAGGACTACTACAAGACAAACTTCAATGTGAATCTAAAGCTGCCTATTGCCTGGTGTGCACCAGAATGCATCAATTACTTGCGCTTCACCAACGCCTCCGATGTTTGGGCCTATGGCGTTTGCCTTTGGGAGATGTTCTCATATGGCTTCCAACCATGGGCGGCACTGACTGGTTTACAGATACTGGAAGCTATAGATTCGCCCAATTTTCAGCGCCTGGAGCAGCCTGACTGCTGTCCACGCGAGTATTACACTTTGATGATGAAGTGCTGGCAGGACGATGCCCTAAAGCGGCCAAAGTTTAGCGAAATCTACGAGCAACTGCCTGACATGAAGCCTGAACAACTGAAGGCCGTTGTCAACTGTGTGGAGCCGAAGAAGGATCATTTGTTGTATCGCCAGGGCGATATCATAACTGTGCTTGATCGTAACACTGGCACGCCCTTCTGGAAAGGCGTTTTGAGCACCGGCAAGACAGGTTTCTTTAATCCCTCGAATACTGTCGCCTTTTTGGAGGGCTTGCCCTGCTCTTCCAATCGCGACTCCTTTAGTCGTGTCGGCGACCATCGCATTAGCAAGCGTAAATTGCGTACGGAAATGATTTCGAAACCGCAGAATGATTTTAAGCACACCGGGCATGTTGGCATTGATGGCGCCACTTTTGGAGACATTGCCTTCCTCGGCAGCTCTCAAAATGTAAGCCTAATCCAATTGTGATTCCTTTGGCTATATATGCTCACTCCTTTCTATTTTTACCTACAGTACAATCATGTGCCCAAACAGATTGTGACGCCGTACAAGCCGTCGGAGGACATTGAACAGACGCCACTGCTACTGCCTCCGACGCCGACCAGCCCCGACTCGTTGCAAACGGCCAGCGGATATTTCCCAGAGGGCGCCGGCACCTCCATGAATCCCACGTTTATTCCCTCCACGGAGCACACGCCCAAACTGATACCTAGCAATGGGCATAGCTCATTTGACTTTGCTGGCTCCACAAATCCCTTTGCCTCACACACTTTGGATGAGGAGCAGCTTGCTTATGCGCTTCAAAACAATAATTACGGGGCCGATGGCAAGAGCATCCACTCGGAACCCAATTGGCGGGCCAGTTCACGCAATACGACTGACGATCCACACGAATATCACGAAATATCCGACGATGAGATCGCTGGCGACAAGCTGGACTTTGGTCCCTCGCTGTTGGATGAGATCAACTCGATGTTTGGCTCAATCAGCGGCGCCTCTGGCAGCCAGCCAAAGTCGCCCGACTTTGATCATGTGAACACAAAGAACGAATTCGCTGAGATGTCTGCAAAGCTTAACCACAAAAGTGGCGACAGCAATGGCAATAAGCATGGCCATGGATTGCTGCCTACGTTGTCCAAGAAGAAGGCATCGACGGGCACTGTAAAGCCCATTTCGGTCAAGGATGAGAAAATACTGAACCATGCCATTGAAATGGCCAATGAGATTAGTGCCAGGTGCGATATACTTAACATATATTTATCATACAGATGGATTAATTTCCTGTTTCTCTCTTGCGCAGATCCATGATTGATTTGGTCTCTGATCATACGCCAGCCACGCACAGTCCGAAGCGCAAATTTAGTTTTCGTTTTCCGCATTTGAGTAGCGGCAGTGGCAGCGGCGGGGACAAGTCAGGTGGGGCTTTGGGTGGTGCTGCAGGCAGCTCTGCACTTACGCCCACCCATGGAAATGCCTCGCCGTTCTCCAAGAAGAAAAACTTTACGGAGGAGCTGCAGAGCATACCCGATATTCAGGTGAGATTTAATAGCATAAAGGATAAAAGGCAGAGTCTTGCGTTAAGTTTATGTAGAGCTAGTCTGGATAATGATGTGATTATGTAATGTTTGCTAATCTGGAGGTCTCTTTCTTGTCTACACTCTGCTCTCTTTCTTCATCATTCGCGTTGGCGCGCCCCGTTCATTCCCTTTGCTTTGTTTTGGTTGTCCAATTTGTTCGTTTTTCTTTGCCTTTCGTTCGTTTTCCCCTCACTCATCAAGCAGCGCTTTCGTTCGCTAAGCGAGATCAAGAACAGCTCCGACCTGCGCATACCCATCTTTGACAAGGAGAGCTCTGACTTTCTCTTTGAGAAATCTCGCGAGATACTCAGCCGCCCGCTGAACCGAGACCTGAACAGCGAGGAGTCCAGAGAGCGCGAGCCCAAGAGCATCAATGATAATATTATGGACATTGAGAATACTTTGAAGGCGCTCAATCTGGACTTTATGCACACGTACACGGAGCTGGACAAGAGCGACTCGAACGACACCATTTTGAATGATCAGCTGCCGCAGCTGGTGGGCTCCCTTGATGATGGCATCAGCAGTGCCACGGGCAGCCTGAAGTCCGCTGTCTACAGCTACAGCAACGGGGTGCAAACGATGTTTGATTTCAATGCAGCCACCAGCCATCTGGACAAGCATCTGCAGTACATGCACAATCAGGCGCAGCTGCACAGCCAGCAGCCGGAGCAGCAAAAGCTGATCGAGGACAAGCGCAGCAGCACCCCAGACACGGGCTTCGCGTCGCGGGATACGAACATCTCGTTGTCGCGCCGCAGCAGCCAGAAGAGCAGCTACAGCCCGCAGGAGAGCTACTTTCCCATGAAGAGCGACGCCCTGTACAGTGCACCGCCCATTGTCATGAGCAGTGGCTATGAGCGCTTTGGCAATGGCCACACTAAGCAGATGCTGGCCAGCGCCTCGCCCGTCAAGTCTTGCTTGAATGCCAGCAGCAGCTCGGTGTATGCGGGGGCTGCGAAGAGTCATCGCCAGCGTTCCACTTCCTTTAACGAGAGCTTCCAGCCCATTTCGCCGGTGCTGTCGGACGCCAAGCATCGGCAATTCAGACAGGAGTCACTGCATCAGCAGCAGCAGCTCGCGCATCACCTGTCACAGCAGCAGCAGCAGCAGCAGCAGCAGCAGCTGCAACTTCAACAGCAACATCAGCACGTGTCACTGCCCAGACGCTCTGCATCCTATAAGCCGCGTTCCATACGCGCGCGCACCTTGCGCCGCCTCAGCTACAATCCAATGACGCTCGACTCCAGCAGCTCGTCCAGCGGCGGCGAGGAGCCAACAAAGCCAAGCTTGGCGCGCTCCGAGTGCGATATACGCGCACGCGTTGCCGGCAGCTCCAGCAGTTCTTTGTATCGTCGGCGTCGGGCGGGTTTGAATCGGCAGGTGCAGTCCGCCTGCCAGGATGAGCGAGAGACCATCATATCGCCACGCCAGCTGTACGGCTCCAACTCCAGCATCAAGTCAGCGCCGCACTACAACCTGGGCGGCAACCGACGCAGCTTCCATCGGCCGGGCACTGGCTACGAGCAGTTCCACTATGACGAGCGCATCTACGACTTTGGCGGACGCGGACCGGGCAACAATTACACCACGCAAATGGCACAGCATACGCTGCTGACAGCCACCCAATCGCAGAAGCTTAGTTCCGGCTCGGGCTCCTCCTCGGCGGCCTCGTCTGCCGTGGCCACCTATCGCACTGCCACGTCTGCATCTGCCGTGCAGCCGCGCCCCATGAGCGGGGTGACGCTGCACGAGTTCGACATTAGTCGGCTCACGGGCAAGAGTCCCACGTCGACCAATTATGTGGGAAGTTCGCCGGACGAGCTGAAGCAACAGCGGGATAGCCAGGTGCAGAGCCTGACGCAGCTGCCAGTGAAGCCGCAGCGACCCACGGAGTTCCATTGGCCCGAGAAGATCCATGCCTCGGCGGTGCAGCAGCATGAGATACATTGGCGCCAGCTCAAGCAGCAGCAACTGCAGCCTCAGCAGTTGCCGCTGGTGACAACGGCGCGTGACTCGAGTGACAGCAGCTCCTCGTCCAGCACGGAGAGCGGAGATGAGTTTCAATTCCGGCGGGAATTCGTTGCGCCACGGATTCCGCCAAGTCCGGCTCCATAACTAAGGAAAATGCTGAAATATGTTCTCAATTTACTATTCGGGCATGTGCTGTCGGATTAGGGCGTCGCCACGCCCCCACACTCTGAGTGTGTCTGTGTGTGCTGAAGTGTGTGTTGTAGTGTGGTGTGYGTCGCAAGGTGTGTGCGTGTGGGTGGGTGGGTGGTTTGTGTCGGAAGAGTAAATTGTAGAAATATTTACAGCGAATATTTATTAGTGTTTACATAACCTATATATATATTATATCGATATATGTATATATATATTTTGGATTTGAATATTTGAGAGCGTGCCTTATTCGGAAACACGGAAGACCTCTCAGAACGGATGATAATAATAAACGTAATTTGCAGTTACAGTTACAGTTACAGTTACACAGATGCAGACGCATTTTACAGTTACAGATTCAGATACATTTCAATTCAATTGAGATCTAAAGCATAAGCAATACGCAAGTCAAGTTCAGGGGAAAGTCCCTACCGCCCCACTCCGAAGTAATTCAACTAAAACAGCTCAATAATAACTAAAGCAATATTAACTCGTTGCAATATATATACTAATACAAAGGATAACGATGAAAGAATATTAGAAAATCAGAGAGAAAGCTTCGACTGCTCGAAGTTGCAATAGCCTTGCAAGCATTTGATAAATATTTAATATAGAAGAGATTGTTAACTGATTCCGAAAGTGTTATTTTAGTAGTCCGATAAGGTATAGACTTGCAAGGATAAACAGTTAGAAATTTAGAAATTGAAAAAAAAAAAAAAAAAACAAAGACTCGAATACAATTTAGCATTAAAACTCAACTCAACTCAACAGAAGGCTTCCAGGTAAAGGCTACTCAGCTCCATTCAGACGAAATTGTGCTTGAACGAGGCGCTGGCAACAAATAGATATAGAAATCGAATACAAAAACAATTTCCTACAGATCTCAGATATCACTATTAATTATCATCCACAAAACAGAGCTTGGTTGTCAGAATCGTCGCAAGCAGAAGAGGAAAATGACGAGAACTTAGGAAAAATTGAATGAGAGAGAAAGTGGATCAGTATTAGCATTTCATCATACACGGGACACTGAGCAAACACCTCATATATCTATATGACAGGGTATAAAAACGAACAACAAAAACACACGGCAACAACAGCAACTACAACAGTCATCAAAYACACACACACACACACAGACGCAAACTCAACCGTTGACAATCCTTCATTAAGAACAACATTCCCAAAAAAAAAAAACAAATTTTCTATCGAAAAAAAAAAAATTATATTGTCCGATAAAAAACGAAAAAAAGAAAAAAAAAAAACTCGTACATATGCGAATGTGTATTATGTGCCATATCCTTACGCTTGCATTTTTACTATACTATACTATATTATAATTGATATACATACATGCATACCTACTATATATGAAACTCGCGAATACCCTGCAAGAGAGGAAGAGGGGTATATCTGCTACTTTCGCATAATCAGAAATTTTCAAACAAAACAATTTTTTTAATATGTTAGAGCTCCACCGCGAGCAGTACGAACTTGAATAATGTATTCGAATTAAACGATTGTCGCATTCTGTGCATTTATTGATCAAGAATAACCGAAATACGAAGCAGAAGAGGAAAAACAAAMAATTACTTATATACAAAGTTTATATACATACTTACATATATAATTACAAATTCATATATATATATTATATATTCATATCTAAAAGAAGATCTAAATTATATTAAACTACCAAAAAATGATATTCTAAAGCATGCGTTCGAAGCGTTTCAAAGCCCAAATGAAAAAACCTAAACCTAAACTTAAACTTAAACTAAAATCTAAAATCTAATAAGAAAACTTTTTCCAAGTATTATATATACATATTTAAAAAGAAAACAAAATTCAAGAAGAGAGAAAAACAAAATTATTTAAAGTTTGCATTCTAAGAACCAAGCAGAAAATCAATTGGTAATCAAAAAAAAGTTGTGTATATTTAAAGGGATTTAATAAAGCAAAAGACAAAATGAATTTCTGCATAGATCTCTGGAAATACCCGATTAATATTTATGTATAAATTATATATTTAAATTTGTTTCGTTTAGAATTTGCATTAAGCACTCTTATGTTCTTTCTTTATTGGTTTTTATTTTTATTTATTTTTTAAACATATTTCTTTTCTTTTCTCCTCTGTTCCCCGTTTGACTCTTCRCAGTCGCTGATTGGCGAGGAGGGCCGCGAGGCGTACAACAGCCTGATCGAGCGCAAGGGCATGCTGGACATTGGCTCCAGTCCGGCTGCCACGCTGCTGCGTCACATGGACACAGATGAGTTCGAGCTGATGAATTCCAAGACGTTGCCTCGTCGCCTGGGCAGCCAGCTGAGTTATCCAGGTACTGCGGCAGCTGCAGCTGCTTCTCCAGCTGCCCCTGCCGCGGAGCCTTCGAGTGCGGCTGCGGACTGCGCACGTCCTTTGCAGCGCTTGCAGCCACCGCGACCTATGACGCTGCCAACGCGAGGTGCGGCGCAGCGAGTGCGTCGTGCCGAGCAGGCGAACGTCGTGGAGAGGCAGAGCGATGAGAATCGCAATGAGCCGTGCGAGAGTCCCAGCTATATGACACACCCCAGCTACAAGTTTCCGGAGCCTCAGGAGACGAATGCATTGCCGTTGCCATCGCGCGAGGGCAAGAAGCAGGTGAAGACCAGCGCCAAGCGACACGTGCGGAAGTATCCGCTCATCATCCCAGCGAATGGCGTGCAGCGCACGCTCAGCAAGGTGGCGGACTTTGGTGATGCATCGCCACAGCCGCAGCAACAGACGCTTCAGCAGCAACAGCAGCACCAGCAGCAGACTCGCTCCATTGAGGTGGTGGCTGCGGTGCGCTCGAGCAGCGTCCGTCGCCGACCCGATGCCCGGGAGTACGAGAATATGCCAGCCATAGCAGGCGAAGCATCTGCGGCCCATACCTACCAGAATCTCGATAAGCTGGAGAAACAGGCGCCTGCCGACGCGGCTGGGCTGACGGACAGCGCCTCGCTGCAGTTCGAGTCCATATTGGAGGGAGACATGAGCAAGGAGGGCATGGTGTTGCAGTCGCCGGACGTGACCGATGGCTTCTACAACTTCTCCATACAGAAGGAGCACTACAACAAGAGCAAGGATGTCGGCTTCGAGCCCGCCCAAGCCACGGGACTTTATGTGAACGACGATGAGCTGCGCAACCTGGACAAACCGTTGGCAACCAGCAACAGCTCCTCCAACTTGGACTCGGCAGCAGTGCCGCAGGAGATGGCACCAACTGCAGCCTCAGCAGCAGCCGCTGTAGCCGCGGCAGCAGCAGCAGCGGCTTCTTCAACAACAGCAGCGACAGCAGCTGAGGAGCCTTTGGAGAGCATAAGCACGCGGCGCTTCGCTAGTGCCGACAATGAGCTGGCGGGAAATGCACTCTTTAAAAAGGTGCGGGCCTCCGTCAACCAGGCAATGAATCGCAGCTCCATCAATGGCAACGAAGTGGCGAGCAACAACTCAACGCCTGCATTGAAGCCACAAACGGAGGCGGAATACTTTGCAGCTACTGCGGCGCGATTGGCCGACTCGAATTCCGTGAGCTGTGAGGATTTGCTGGAGTTCTCCGACAAGAAGCCACGTGGCTGTGAGCGGGGCGTCGACTCAGATGAAGTACGCATCATGGTCAAAGTACTGGGCAAAGACGTAAGTTCAATGCAATATTTATCAGTAATTTCCCCAACTAATGCATATATATTTCACACAGAGCACGCCCACACGCTGCCTGGCCGCCCTGGAGTTCATCAATTGGGATGTTCACAAATCCATTAAATTGATAAAGCTGCAGAATATACTTGCTGAGGCGAATCTGAGTCTATCCGCTGCATTCGAGGCACTACAGCAGCAGGAATGGGACTTGCACACAACAGCCGTGAAGCTGAAGGGAGTTAAGCTCTGAAGAATGCGCAAATTGATACATAGACCTCCTATATACACATATATATGATATATACCATGTGCCTGTTGGGAACAACATCATTTGTGGCCTTCTTGTCTATGTTTATAACTTTCACCATTTAAAGTTCACTTTCCTCTATTATTTAATACTATAGTATGTAGGACATCCTTAACTCAAACTCAATCACTGCTCAAAATATGTTTCTATTGTATTTCATACTCCTTTCCTACTGTATGAACGTATCTCAGCATGTACTTATCTAATAATGCAATGTATCTAGTTCTTAATTGTACTATGTTAATCCCTATAGCCAGCTTTTCAAACACAGATCAAAAAGGATAACTTAGCACTAACTATCCGGATACATCCAACAATAATCGCATGTCTGGCCAGGTATTTGGTAATTTCTACAAAGGATAGCCGGAACTGTGCTGCAGCATACTCATCACATTTATGCAACAGATGAGGCAACAGCTACCAGCACCAGTACGGCTGCTAGCAACACCAGCTGCAACACCAGTTAGTGCTAAGAAAATAAGCATATAGTGCCTAAAAATGTATGAATTAAGTTCAAAATAAACGAAAAATACTTTAAAATTTCAAAAATAACGTGTGTTTATTTCATGGCGGGTAAAATAAAAGTTCAAATGCTCGTTTGAACTCAACGGTCTATTTCGCCCCTGGAGGATATGCAACGAATATTTTTGTTCGCTTAAACTTGGTTGCTTGCTGGAGATTTCTGTTCGCCTGGTACTTCAGCTGAATTTTCGTTGAAATTTCAAAAGGGTTGCCCTTTAGAGTATGCAACGAATTTTGGTTTTTCGGTAACAAACATTTCAGTTTTTTAGCTATAACTCGGTCAAATCCTAGCGCAGGATGAAAAAATTTGGTGCGTTAGGATCATGAAAAGCCCGACTATGAATCGCCATCAAAACATTATGGGGTCATCTAAGGATCAAGGACTTGTCCATTCAGCTGGCTCTTGCGGCCTAGAAAACTGGCCAAAATTCACAAAATGCGTAATAATTCCATAACTACAAGGACGATTTTGATGCGACTTAGTCAGTTGTTAGCCCGAGTGACCCCAAGGAGTTTGACATCTTAATCGTCGGCATATCCAAGGATACGGCCGAGCTATGCTTATTTTTCTTTGAAAAAAGGATAGTTATTATCTTAGCTTCCTGAAGGACTTTTATCCATGTTGTTGTCAATTCATAATCTGAGCCGAAAGGACACCATATGGTTGAAAGGACATCCCAAAAGTCCTTCAAATGGCCAAATTACATTCCATTTTTGACATTTTTGGCACTTTTTTGACTATACCCCTTGAAAAATTTATAGACAAAACTTTTGGATGAATTTGGTAATTCCTTGATGCCAATCGATTTTCCCAATATCCATAAGTTGGAAAAAGAGTACCTAATAAATATCCTTAAGGATATGGCGAAATTAGGATCAACATCCCTCTTGAATATGGGGCTATTCTTGTAATACGTTCTTATTGAAGCATATCCCTAATCAGATAGACAAAACTAGATCTCGCAGGGCTCACATTTGTTTTAAATAAGTATATTGAAACATGACACGTATTATACATGAAACTTACAGGGTTAATGAACATTTAAAACAGACATAATATTTAAATATATCTTAATCGAATACATTACACAGAAAGAAGGGGTGGGGGTCAGAGGAATGGAGACTATTTGTGACGGGTGCGGGTTGCTATGGGGGCTTCTGGGGCATTCGCCCTGGTGCGCGGCGTGGAGCTCTTTGAACTGCTTGTGTGTGCTGTGGCACGTTCGCTGGATTTGTTTTTCTTGTGTGTTGCTTTGTCCTGGCGCACGCGCTTGGGTGTGGACACCTTGAGATGTCCTTCGGTCATGCTCAGCTCTTGGGATAACCGTTTGCGGGTCATGCACATGTTATTCATACGCAGCTTGCGCGCCGAGTGACGTGTTAATATCCTGTTCACGGGCGTGCTGCTGTTCAGATGGGATGCGGAACGCCTCCTGCTAGGCTGTGGCGTCTTGTGATTGGACTTTGGTGCTGGCGCTGTTGCTGATGCGGATACGGATACAGATACAGATGCAGGTACAGATGATGTAGGTGCCGTGTTCTCCTTGATGGAGGAACAGCTGCTGTCCGTGGGACTCGCTGTGCTCTTTGATGCTGGTATCGCCCGTTCCGCTGGAGTTGCCATTGACACGCTGCTGCGTCTTCGGGGCATCGCTTTGGCGTCGAGTCGTTGCTGCTTGCGGAGTGGCGAAATGCGCTTAGAGGATTTCCCCGAATCGGTGGATGGCGAAGAGGAAGCCAGCGTCGCAGTCGGCGTTGCAATCAGCGATTTGCGCAGGACACGCTTGCGTCCATTGCGCAACGGTGTTTGTATATCTAGATGAAGCACTTTGCGCTGCAGGATCACAAAAGAAACAGAAAAACAAGATAAGTTAAACAGAAAAGCAAACGGAAAGCTAATTTAAATAGGATAACTCGCTAGCACTAACTAAATAACATACAACTTTATACACATACACAGCTTGTATTACTAGACCGGGGCGTAAAGAAAACAACGTTTTATTTTTGTTTTGTTGAGTGTTTGAAAACGTGTCTTTTAAATTCATCTTTTTTGTTTTCAGTCAATGCTAAGTGCATATCGTTTATCATTTGTGCTTAAATTAAACAATGTTCAGGATTCATCCTGGATTATCAAAATTTGTTACAGGCTACATTTTAAACTAAAAAGAATTATGATTCGTTTTTGCTGTTTGCTCTCTGCACGATCTGCTACTGCTACTCTTGATCTGGCTCTGGCGCGAGGATTGGGACTGGGACTGTCGCACTGCCTAGAGCTGCAAGCGCAAGCGCGCGGTACTCACTTTGCTGCCCGTTGGCGTATTGCGCGCGTTGCCATTCGCGTTTCGATTGCGCATCGAGCGCAGACGCAGGTGACTCGCATTTACCGCTCTGCTTGCATCTGGCGATGCGGTTGTGGGCGAATCCACGATTACTTCCTCCGATTCATTGTGCTGCACAGAGTAGAAAGGTAAATGTTACTGCTTAGCTTAAAAGTCTGCGATTTGATAAACTCTTACCGACTGGCTTTGAACAGGGCTAACAACTTCTACAATTTCGTCTTCGCCTTGAGATTCTACATCCACATACTCATCCTCTTCGTCCACTATTGGAGCTACGACTTTTGCTGGCTCAGGCTCCTTTTCGGGCGTCTTTGAGGCACGCGCTATTGCCCGCTCCAGCTGCTGCTTGGTTTTATCCCTGCGCAGATTACGACGACTGATTTCTGTGGCCTCCTGCTGCTGTTTCTTCCTCTCTAACGCCTTCGCCTCTGCCTCAGCCGCTGCTGTTGGCGTTGGTGTGGGCGCTTTTGATTCGCCTATGCTTTCGCTATCCGAGTTGTAGAGCGAACGCCGCAAGAAGCGTAAGCCAACCTCATTGTTGGCCCCGAAAGTGGTTAGCACAGGTTCTGCAGGCGCAGCTGCAGCCGCAGCCGCAGTCGGCGCAGGCGCTGCCTCGGTTGCTGCTGGCTCTGTGACTGCTGCAGTTTCTGTTGTAGTTTTATCTACTGGTGCAGGTACTTCGCTCTCGGCAACAACTGGCGCTGCAGGCTCTTGAGCAGGGCCGTCCGATGTGGATACTGTGGTGGCCGTGATACTCTCACACTCCTCGGCGTCTGCCTCGCTGTCATTGCCATCGGTCTTGCGGGCAGGCGGCTTGAAGCTGCCATTTAGCATATTTTTAAAGTCCTCAATGTTCTTAATCATGCGTGGCTCCAGATCACTCTGCAAAACAAATTTGAGTCAGTCAAGAGTTAAGGCACACTATTTAAATTCACTTACATTGACCAACTTGTCAGCCAGCTCCTGCATTTCGTCCTTCAACTGTGAGTTGTTGAGCACATTCAGCTTGAGCGTGGTCAGCTCTTTGGTCAGCAGGCGACACATCTCTTTGCGCTCCGTGTAGAAGTTGTGAACGTAGTGCAGAAAGCTGAGCGCGATGCGATTGTGTATATTGCTCTGGGGCGTGCTCGACACCTGCGTTGTGAGATCGATGAAGAACTTGGTTACATGATCCGGCAACACATCGTTCAGCGAATCGTTGCTGCAGCTCATCACAGACCACACGATCGGCAGCAGGCAAGGCTCCAGTAAATGCTGCAGCTTTTGCTCCACAATATTCTCAAAGAACATGCCGAGTACCTGGTTGATTATGGGTTCTATAAAACAACAGAATATAGAATGAGTTACGAAATATCATCTTTGCAAAATCTGTGGCATTTACCCGTGTTGGGATTAAAGTAGCGCTTGAGCAGCTTCTCTAGCACTTCAGGGCGATTGTCCAGCTGACCACGCAGCACCAGGCGACACAGGCCGCGCACAATGGCCAGCAGGATGTTCTTGTCCACAACCTTCTCGACAAAGAAGCCCATCATGCTAATGATGTCCGCATTTTGATCGCCGCTTTGCGATTGACTTATGTCCTCCTCGCCGTCAAAGTCCTGCCTGGTGAACAACAGCCGCCGCTTCGTTTTGGGACCCACGACAGATTGACCCATATCCATAAAGAAGTCGACGCCGTAGTGATCCATTTGCTCGCAAACGCACTGCGCGGATATTTCGCAAAGGCGCAAATTGTTGTTCTTGTAGAACTCTTCGACAAGCACATCAAACACCTCCTTGGTGTACGCCTCGTACAGGAGACTGAACGTGGTGCCGCACTTCATGGACCACTCGAAGATATCCTGCTCCGTTGAAGGCAAGTGGCGGCAAATGAAGTCCTATAATTGCAATGGGAATTAGAATTCAAATATTTGGCCACAAAACCTATAAGAGCTGTATTACCTTGTAAAGCTTGCACAGGCTGGGATTCAGGCTGTGTACATGCTCAGAGGCGACCATGTAAAAGGATATGTACAATCCCTTGAGTACACGCTCCTGCTTCGACAGCTTGGGCCGTGTGGGCAGCTGCAGCTGTCCATGTTTTTCGAGTAGCGGCTGTATCAAATCCCTATACTCATCAGTCAGGATCATTCGCTCGTTGTTTATCGCTTGGGCACGCATATATTCCTTTTGCATGGCAAAGTTATCCTCCATCTCCTCGAGATCGAGAATTCGCACTTTCAGCGATCTGATCTTCATGACCAACGATGTCTCCACATTCTCAAGCAACATATCCGTCAGTTCCCGATCGTGCACTAGATCGTTTTGCTTGGTATTCAGCTCGCATATGTCATAGATGATAGTCAGAAAATATTGCATACGGGCAGCCACATCGGTCTCCAGGCGCTCCATGCAGCGCACGAGCACGGCCACGATTTTCGGATCCAGCCGGCATTCCCTCAGCAGGTGCGATATTAGCTCCTTCAGATTGTCACGTCCGATTTCATCGCCCAGATCGTAGGTCTCCAGCATTTCCACTAACGAGAGGAGCATAGTCTGAAATTCGATCTGAGCGAATTTGTCCATATCTGGCTTCTGGAATTGACAGAATCTAAAGAGAGCAAGGATTAGTTGATGCCACACCCAGCATATGTGTATGCAATTGCCACTCACTGCTTAACATAGTCACAGAAGATGCTTAGTTCTGGGAGCACCTGCTCGAACTCGTCAGCTTGGATCTGTTGCAAGTAGGCGCTAAGGCATTGCCAGTAGAGGACAAGCTCGACGGTGAGCGACTCGCGCGGGACACAACAGTGCAGCTCACAGTCCTCGGTGAGGGGCAGCTGGGCGAGCAGATCCGTATAGTCCTTGTGTTGCTCGAAGATCACGAACAGCATTTGACGAGCCACGCGTCGAAAGCGCAACAGCTCCTCCTCGGTGGAGTCCAGCTTGAGAGCAGCAACTAGATTCACATAATTATTCTGGTATGACTCGATCCAGGCCTTCAGCATGTACTTGATCACATTTTTGCGCACATTCTCGGAGCTGTCGTTGAGACCGCGCTCCAACAGCGTCAAACGCTGAGACACCTTGTAGGAGCGCACAGGATAGTTGCACATGTTGATGTACGTATGACGGCGCACCTTCTCATCCACGTCCCACAGGCGTTGCAGTATGTGCGGCACTGTTAAGTAATTGCGACCCATGCACGAAATGATGCACTGCCTCACACTGGACGAGGGATCCGCGCTCAAATGGTACTGATAGGCGCATAGGACCTGATCGTTGGGGTGATCGGGCACCTGGAGACGCTGCATGGCAAGCACCGCCTCTTTTCGCACGCTGGGCGAGATATCCTTCAGCCTTTCCAGCATGTAGTACAGAATCTGATCGCATTGCGAGTCATCGAGAGCCGCGTACGGGCCGAGATGCTTAAGGATGAGATTCACAAAGAAACAGATGCGATAGCGTATGTGCGGGCTATTCGAAATTGTCTGCGAAAAGAGCAAGCAAACGAAATGTAAACAAAACGTAATCGATAAGAAAGTACAGTAGACACTCACCGAGAGCAGCCACGAAAAGGTCTCGGCCAGCAGCGGATGGGTTTTCTCCGACTCGAAGCTGGTGACGAACTTGGCACAGAAGGCAAGCGCGGTATTGCCGTACTCGTTGCTATCGTCCGCCTCCAGAATCGTTTTGAACATTTGGATGAATGTGTACATGAAGGCATCGTGATCCAACTGGAAGAGAGTACACAGTTAAACAATTACAGTTAGACTTCAGTCCCAGCAGTCCGCATTCACTACAACCTACCTTGGAGTACAGTTGCTTCATTTCCTTGATGTAGCGCTTGTGAAATGTTTCCGAGTTTTGCGCGTTCGAGAGAATTGTATACATTGGCCCATGGCCTGCATAGCGCTGCTCGCTGGTATTGTTGCTGGTGTTGCTGTTGTTCCTGCTGCCGTTGGATGCGGCTGTATTCGATGTGGCCACCGCATCGGGGCTGCCCTGCTCCTCAGTGTTTTCTTTTTCTTTAGTTTTTTTGTTGCGCTTCGCATTCGCCCGGACCTTTTTGACCATTGTGTTTGGGTTTCCAGCTCCTCACTTTACCGATTTTTCTTTTTTTTTAAATTGATTGCCTATTCCCTTAATTTAATTTGTCTATTAATTAATTCAAATTGTACGCAGCGCAGCTTACTTTATTTTTTCTTGTGAAACGCCAGCTAACAAACACAAGCGTCGCGTTCTTTTGCATTCCGTTTTCCACCCCATTCGCGCTGCCGTTAATATGTTTCATCTTTTTCAATTGGCGGGGCTGCCAACTTGCTGCAAATGCAGCATCGATCACAACTGCTGTCGGTTAAATTCAAAATTCAACTCAATAATTAGTAAGAAATTTGTAATTATAATTTAATCAATAAATATGCAATGGTAAAAAGTTTATTTTTTATATACCAGTGTTTTCTTTTCTAGTAAAAGGTTATTTATGCCGTAAATATAAAGAGAGATGTTGCTAATTTCCCTTGTCCGTGGTGCATGACAAATGCTGACTGCTATAGGACTATTTCGAATTCGTTTTTATTAAATTTTTAAAAAGCACTTGTATTCTTTTTTATTTCTTAGGAATTTTTTATATATATTGTTAAATACGAATTTATAAATTTGTAAATTTTTAAATATATTGAAAAAATGGTCTTTCAATGCTTTTTCAGTCAGTAACATATGCAAATCTTTAGAGAATTTAAATGATTATTGTTAAACAAAAATGTCGAACGAAACGAAGCGAGTTTACGATGCTCGCTCCAAATATCCCGATCGTGGAAAAGTCACGGAAAATTCGTTTAGCCCATTGAGTGTTGTTATAAAAAATCTGGAGACATCCCTCTTGCTGCTTGCCTCTAAGGAGGAGCCCGTCCTTCAAGTTGTGCTCAGTCATTTGTCGGAGTTTGCCCGCAAACAGGATGAAAATATATTGGAGCTAAAGCAACAACTACTGCTGGAGAGCCTAGTTGATAAGGAACTGTTTATCGATGCGGAGAGTGTTATAGTGCGACGCTTTGCCTTATTCCTTATCACTGCCATCTTGGACAACACGGAACTGGGGGAATACGATACAGAAAAGACGACAGCGCTGCTCGACGTGGCGTTTAGATTCTATTTAAAGGAGAACGATGAGTTCTGCATAGAATATCTGACCTATATAGTAAACTTGTGTCTTCGTGATCCGAAGGTCGCACAGAGTATAATTGAGAATATTGAGTTCCTGGAAAAGTTTAAGAACATATTCATTAGCTCGGATAATCCCGATACGGTTTTCAATTCCATTGAGGCATTGCATAAGATTCTACAGGTTCAAAGCGCAGAGGAGATGCTGGAGTTCACCACACTGCCGGGATTCCCGGTCGATCGCATTGTCTGCGAGCTGACCAACGAGTTCCTCGAGATCCGTTTGGCTGCCATCAAGGTGCTGAAGACGCTGCTGGCCGATACCAGCGACGACAGTGTCTTCGAGCCGCTTCATCGCTGTTTCTTCGTGCTCCAGCAGCTGGTGAAGGCCTTTTGCCTAGATCCCAAGGCACCAGACGCCCTTGGGATCATCGAGGTGCTGGCTACGGCTTTGCGCTCAGAGAAAATGACTAAGCTCTTCTTTGAGCAGAATCTCTTCGACCAGATGGTGGAGAATCTAAAGGAGATTATGGACAATCTGCCACCTGAAGTCGTCTGCGCCATCATCTCCATATTCGCCGAGGCGGCCAAGTATCAAAAATATCTGCCACGCATCCATAAGGCAAACATTACGGACATGTTCATCAAGTGCCTGATGAAGAGCAAACAGGAGCCAGCTCCATTTGTTATCATGGGAATCATTCGCCTGATCGCCCATCCGGAGGCATTGCGCGCCTTTGTTGCCGAGTATGAGAATGGAGCTCTGTCCCGTCTCATTAGCCTGTTTCGTGCACCTGATGTGTCCATCAAGACACGCGAACAGTCAGCCGAGTTGATTGGAAGTCTATTGGTTAACTCCTTCCGTGTTACAGCTGAGCAGTTAATGGAACTCAACATCGCGGAGTCCTTGACAATTACTCTGAAGCAGGGGCTGGCGGAGCTATCGATCGATCTAATTCTATCGCTGCTGTCGATTATCGAGAGTTTAGCTGACAATGATGAGTACCGCACGATTATTGGCGAAAATACAGCACTCACTGAACAAATTGCCCAGCTACTTATGGTAAATATCATGCATATCTGCTGTCTACTTGATACACATACTTCCATTGACATTAAGTTATCGATATAGTCGTCTGGTAATATATCGTTGTTTTTTGTGGAATAGCGTTCCACATAGATATACCGATATGAATAAATGATGATCATGTTTTTTATGTACACATATACAAATATACATATTTATCGATAAAAATCGATCGACACTTTTTCTATCGATTGTCCACTCTTTTAACAGCGCTCGTATGCTCATTCAATATTGGTCCACAACATATTTCGCTGCCTTTGCACTATTATTGACGAGCAACCTGTTCGAGAGGTTCTGCTCGAAAATTACATCATTTCCTCAATGAAGCGCGCTCTGAAATCCCTCTCCAATCTGGTGAAGACAGCTGTGACCAATTTCATACTGCAGACAACACGTTTCAATGAGTTCGTCGATGCCTACATCGATCGAGGAATTCTGGAGGTGTAAGTTAATTGAATACAGTGCCCAGTGGAACAGGAACTGCAGCGATCCTCCTGACTTGTCCTTAAATTCATACAGTTATTTCCTTACAGATTGATGCTCTTCCAGAAGCACGCGTTCTGTGTGTCCACTTGGGGTCCGGCCATTGAGAGCATTCTATCCAAGTGCCCAACCATGAAGTTCTGCATTCGCAATTACTTGGGCTTTACGGACATTACGGCTGGCAAGGATTTCTATGTGTCGAAGCGTAAGTTTGAAGATTTCCGTTGCTTTCAAAACATTTTGCGACACGATTGCTCGCCTCTGGAGGCGGTGCTGGTRGTCAATTTCGACCGACCGACCGCACTTGAGGAGGACGTTGTCTGTGTGCCCACCTACTGCCTGCACGATGTCGACAATGCGGGCGATCAGAAATGGGTATATTGCAAGCGGCCAGCTGATGACAAGCTGCCGGAGTACCTCGAAGCACTCAACGAGACCTTGGCCGTGAGTATGTTAGGCCCAAGTAAACCTAGCTAACAATATTTCGTCGTCTAGTTGAATGGCCTTGTAGAGAATCCGGACAAGATCAGACGCAGCATCGACTTCGAGAATGTGGCCAAGCGCAGCAAGATTATTGCCGAAGCCGTGAATAGCGTCATGGGCGAGGACATCAAGATCTTGGATATAAATACAACGGAAGAGTGCTCCCGCCACACGGTGCGCTGTCATCTGGAGCATCTTCGTCTGACTTACCACACCAATTTCATACCGATCGGCGCTGTGCACAGCGGCTGCCAGTTCGAGCGTGCCATCCTCTTCAAGTGCTTTGCAGATCAAATCGGCCTGCCCTGCACCCTGCAGCGCAGCGTCGATGGCCGCATGCTCTACAACGAGGTGCCGCTGCCCCTGGAGGTCGACAAGGATATCCACTGTGACCAGAAGACTCTCAAATTTATGCCCTGGCGCATGCTGCGTCCCACGCACATCGTTGATCTCATGTACAACATAGGCGAGCTCTATCCCATGCAAAGTCGCCAGGCCCTGCAATATTTGCGTCTCTATTGAGGCCCGAATGTTTTACAGATTTCATTGTTTATTGATTTGTCCAAATTTTTAATGTTAGCCCAATAATAATCAGAAGTAATTCATTGGGTCCATCGACTAAACAAAGCGTTTTTCCATTTTCAATTGTAGCTCTCATTCCAACTAAATCCTCTTCCCCTGTAAAATTCTCAACTGGTTTATGCTGCAGCCGCAGGGTTTGGGTCTTTGCTAGCCGATGGTTCGCTAGCCAGTGCGCATGTCTCCCTTTTGACAGCTCTTGCATCTCTGACATTCGCTGTCAAATGAAGTCGTTTGGCCTCCGCACATAAACAACAAGTTTTCTTAGCCTCTTACAGAATAGGGCTTCCAGCTGGCTGAGCAGGCGTCCAATCGTGGTCCAATTGGCGGCCACAATATGTCCAGAGCGCTTCTCACGCTCGCCTATTTAGTGCTCACCTATTGCTCCATTGTCTTCACGGCTTGCGTCAACAACGGTAAGTGAAGCGACCTTCACACCTCAACGGGGAGAAATCAATAAAGTTCTGTATTTGCTTGTGTAGTGACTGGCACTTCCACCACTGGCAGCTCGACCGCATCGGGACCCAACTCCGCGGGCAGCCTGAGCACCTCGCTGACCAGTGGCGGGCACATACATCGCACCGCAGCGGCCATTGAGCGGGTGAACAAGCTCTGGTGCTATGCCTGCGACACCATGGACGATGGACCGGGCTGTGTGGATGTGCTCGAACGGAATGACACGTCCATGATGAAGAAATGCCAGGGCGAAGAGTTCATTTGCATGGTAGGAAGTATATCAGTTATAGAACTAGTCCTTCTCTAATCACTTCTCTCCCTCTCTCACCCTCTTTCGAAAGGTCAAACGCTTCTCGTACACTACGAGCACTGAGAACTCAACGAGCTCGCCCAAGATGTGGTCGTTGGATCGTCGCTGTACTGTGAACTGTGAGCCCGGTTGCATTGTGATTGGGGAGCGCACTAAGCTCTATGCGTGCACCTCCTGTTGCGAGGAGTCCTTTTGCAATACGGGCAGAGGTGGCGCCGCTGGCATCTTCCATCGTGAGGCAACGGGCATTGGCACGCGGCTCTTTTGGCTTGCTGCCCCATGTCTGGTCAACATATCGCTAATGCTCTACAAACGGCATGCCGGCCACGCGCTCATCCAACTGCAGTAGTACCTCGAAAATGGAATTTAGCCGATTTAAACTCTTCACTTGCTCCAATCCAAATCCAAAGCAAACAACTAGCCAAACGAGTTTATCTGCTCCCTTAAAACACTATTTTACCTAGTCATAGATTAAGATATAATACTACGAACTATTTACTGTGCACAGCCTGCGCCCTTCACGATCTGTGCTTGTGTACATCTTGTTAGCCCAAAGATTAAGGTGTGATAATAAATGAATCCAAGTGTCAAAGTGTGAAAAAAACTGTGAATGAGTCGTGAATTGATTGAGAGGAATGTTCTTCATTAATTTTAGATAATATTTGTATACATAGATATCAATAATTTACGATTATTCTATATCATTCTCTACAAGTTTTCATAGGGATTGAACAATTATAAATGAGTTATTTACTGTAGTGAGATAATTGATTTAGGTTTATTCATTCTTAAACCATGTTTCTAGTTAACATTCCTTAGCCACATTTCAGCCAAATTTTATTGATTGATTTCCACTTAAGCAAAATGCATTATCCCTTAATCCCCTATCAGAATTTCTAACTGCATTTCAATTTAGAGCCGATTAGAATTTATCATTTGGCATTTCAGCTCATTGGTATGGATAACAATGGTAATTAGTTATCTGAATTGCTAACTGCTACTCTGGTATTCTCTCTGTAATTGATTCAGTGTATGGTCTCTCTCACTCCCTCTGCACATGATCTGCATTCATTTCCACACACTTCCTATCCCATTTGGGTACATGTGTAGTCCTTTATCCGCTTAGTAGCTGTACTTCAGGCTGCTGAAACCGTTCATTTGGTTTCGTGAATTGCATTACATATCCGTCTGTCCGAGAGTGTTCATTCCCCCTCTCCCCTCTCTCCCTCTTCCAGCTCCAGTGTCCTACTGCATGCATCCGCCTTACCCATCCGACATCCGACATCCCATATTTCCCACATCATTCACAATCGTGCACATCCGCCCACTTGGCCACTCAAGCCTCGCCCTGGGTGGCATTTCCGGGCAGACAACTTGCTACTTGCAGCATGAATTATTTATTGGACAAAGTATTCATAAGCAGACAAAGTGGGTTAACAGTGGGTGGAGGGGCGTGGCAGCAACTGGAGTTGCTGGAGCTCCTAATCAGCTTCACTCCAGTCCCCGTCTACTCTTTGGCTAATAGGGTTGCCATTAAGGGCAGATACACATATATGTAGGCGTGGCGCGCCCACTTAGTTTAGTGCAGAGAAGTCGCCCACTCCCACACTCCCACACTCACACACTCCCACAATTTGTTTTCATCTGTGGACAACTTTCTCTTTGACTTTTAGTTTGTTACATCTCCAGGGCCCAATTGCAATTGTTTTTTGTTTTCTCTGCTCTGCTGGCTGCCTGTGAGTTATGGCCATAAAGCAACCAGCTACATCTTGGCTAATAAACCAGAAGACAAATCTGTGCATTTTGTTGCTTAATTTACATAAATGGCCAGCAGCAGCAAATAGGCTGCCCATTCGTAGGAGACTAGAAGACCAGAAGACCGGGAGGCACTTGGTCTTGGTGTGCCACAGCGCATTCATCATGAAGAGCGCCGCTTGAGTGGGGGTTGCAGGGGCAGGCTAGTGCGTCGATGGGGCGGAGAATGGGGAATGGGGGATAGGGAGCTGTTCCCTCTAGTCTATTGGCTTTTTGCTTTATGTTTATGTATGTGTTTTGGCGTTTATTTTGTGGCTTTCATGTCGTAAATCTTCATCAGACGGCAAATTACGTGGTTGCCAGTCAGCCAGCAGCAGCGCACTCTACCTTACGCCATCTCTCTCTTCCTCTCTCTCTCTCTTCTCGTCTGGGCCGAGTTTTTGTGGCGGCATATCTGGTAAACAATAAACTGACCGCATTCAGCCTGTGGGCGGTAAAAACAATAAAGCGGTGACAAAAACCAAACAGGCAACAGCAACAACAACAGACAGCAACAACAACAGACAGCAGCAGCAACATCCCATTGACAACAGTTTCATTTATGAAAAATAATAGCTGAAGCGGCAGCAATATGCGAAATTTATTATTATATTTGCGTTGTGCCGCAAAAATGCAAACGTTACCAACGCCTGCTTCACCTCCGCCTCCTGCTCCCGCTGCCGCTCCGGCTCCTGCTCCTGCTCCTGCTCCGTCTCTTAATGTTGACCCCGACCTCAATATAAAGTTGCCTGGCTGATTCGTTGTCAGTGCAGACGCCACCAATGGGCAGCTGGAGTACGACGGCAATATGAGAAGCCGTAGCTGCAGAAGGAGCAGCAGCAACAGCAGCAACAGGAGCAGCAGGAGCAGCAACATCAAGAGCAGCAGCAGCAATAAGGCTGCACAGCAATTGTTATTGTTGTTTTTGATGTTGCTGTTGTTGCTGTTGTTGCTCTTTGTTGTTATTCGTTTTATTCATTCATTATTATTGCTACTTTGGCGTTGTTGTTTTGCTGTGTGATTGCTGGCGACACGTTTATGTTGTTGCTGTACTGCTTGCTCGTTATTATTGTTGCTGCTGTTGCTGCTGCTGCTGCTGTTGTTCTTGTTGCCGTTGATGTTGCTGCAGCAAGTTCACAAAGAAATTTCAATTAAAATGCAACAATGCCGCACTCCATCATCAGCGTGCCAAGCTGACAAACCGCGCACACTGCCTCCTCTCGCTTCCCTCTGCTCGTCAAGCACCGTCGCCTGTTTACAGTGTTGGGCAACGGAATGTAACGAACTGTAGTAAAAAACTAGCCACCCAATCATCCAACTGCTGCTGCAGTCACCCACAAAGTGCGATTGCAAATGCAGTGGGTAGCTTAAAGAGTTACAAATCATCAAGGAAAATAGTATTTAAATTTGTATAATTTTTGTGTAAGAGTTTAAAGATAATAGGGAATGTGCCCATTACCCTGCATATTTATGAATTTAACACAAGTCCTTTTGCCCCAATGAAATCATGTTTTAGAAATTCCACATTAAAGTTCCAATTATTCTCATATTCAGGCTACCCTCTTGAGATCATTCCATTCCATTATATCATTTCAATCTGTGGAAACTTTGAACTTGCCTCCTCCTGCCTGCCTTTAGCCTTTAGTTTATCTGCCTCTCAGCTTCTCTTTAAGTCCCGCCCCCTTCGCTCAACTCTTTAGTCAACCAACAATGTTGATTGTTATTGCTGCTGCATCCTTTCGTCCCGGTGCCCGATTCCTGCCTTTGGAGTGATAAATCTCTGTCGCCTAGCAAATAGGAGCAACCACACGGTAGCAACTGCAGTCGAAGCGAGCAATAGCCAAGGCCAAACAGGCGTAACATTCTGTCGAGCAGCCATGCCAAAAATGTTTGTTGTTGGCCCTGGAGCAGCGTTCATTCCCCCAGCCCCCAATCCCAGTCGCAGTCCCAGTGCCAGTCCCAGTCTCCCCAATTCCCCATAGCCCGTGGCACAGCGAACGTGTAATTAAAACTTTCGAGCAAGCAGCCACGCAACTACAACTACAATTGACAGACTGCCAGCCAGTCTGCCTGCCCGTCTCTCTCTCTCTCTTGCTCTGTCTCTCTCTCTCTCTGTATGACAGTCTGGCTGTCTTCGTAACGCTCTCCCTATAGCATAAGCTGTTGCTGCTGTCAGTTTTTTGGCGCCTTGTTTTTAGCTGCTCTTTAATAAAGTTTTGCCCAGTGGATCCCTGATTGGATCACAGCCAAATGCAGCTGACATTGATGGTGCCTGACCTAAGCTTAAGCCTTGTTGTTCCAGCTCCCGCTACTGCTACTGCTCCTGCTCCTACTCCTGCTTGTGCTCCTTCGTTGGCTCCTGTGCGGTGTGATTTGCGTAAATGATTTTGATGGATTTGATGGGATTTGAGCGCGAGTTTTTATGCAGCCGCCAAAACCCTTCGCAGCTGTGAAATGGATTTTCCGAGCAGCAAAGCTCTCAAGCTGATTACCAACCAGCACAAAGCTTCGCCACACTATCTCTGTCTCTGTGTACTGGTTAAGCTTTAGTTGTCTTCAGTTCTTCAGCTTTAATGCTCGCCATTTCCTGGACATGAACACGAAAATGCACTACATACAAATTAGAGTGCGAAAAAGGGGCGAGACGAGATTGTGTCAAGCAGAGCGCGCTGCAAATTGATTTTTTGTGTCTGCCTCGTTGCCACACGCCCCATGACCCACGCCCCACACCACTTGCCACTTGCTGTACATGCTACAAGCGCGTAATCTCTTAAAGCTCCAACTCCTCCTCCGCTTCTCTATCTCTCACTTTCGCTTGCACCTTTCGCTAGCTACATGAATTTGCATATTAATCTGGCCAAGAGCAGCAGCTCCAACGACCCCAAAATTACACGAACTACACATTTTGGTTTGTCACCTTCTCTCTCTCTCTCTCTCTCTCTCTCCCTCTCTCTCGCTGCACCTGTCTCTTTCTATGTGTATGTTGTGAGCCGCTTCTGGCAACCGCCTAGCCTTCAAGCCTCCCTCTCAACCTCTAAATGTATGCAAATGAGTAAAACGGCAGCTGCTCTCAAGGCGACTTAACGCCTGCTTAATGAACATAAATTAGTCACCAGGTGTCGCCAGGTAACACGCGGCCTGCGTCGCCATGGAGCCAGCACACGCACTTAAATTTCAATTTGTAATTTATGCCTAAAGTAAATTGCACACTATTTATAATAACTAACAATTTGTAGTTGCACAATTTGCCTATGCTACATTATGGACGGTCAGGGTTCGAATCGCAGGCTAATGAGTTGAATGATTATATAATAACAATAGTGATAGTAATGATTTATGAATGGATTGGTATTTACTTCATCCTTAGACTTTTATTTTAAATCTGAAATTAAACCATCTGGCAACGCCGAATAAATATTCCCAAACTTGTTAAGTTGGCTGCGCCTCAATTTTTGCAAGTTAAACTCTGTCTATTGTGCGCAATCAACTTGAATTCATATGATTAACAACCAATTTGACCAATTCGCGCTCTCCATTACGATATACGAGTGCTTATACATATATATGTATACTCGATATATCGCAGTTCGTTGATTGGGTAGCCGCTTCAGCGGCTGCCATAATACAATTTGTTGCACATCCGGTTTGGAGTCCACTCGAATTTCCTCGCTTCGGCCACTTTGATGCAATTAGTTTCGTGAGTATTTCGTATGCACGTAATGTGACTCAACGGCAATTCAGAATTGATTGATGGGGTATCCATTCGTGTAGCGATTGGATGTGAGTACACTCATGAATATTGAAT